GGGAAGTTTTGAAATAAGAATCCTCATTCGTGTAAATGACTAGATGGTTCTGTTCTGTTCTTTAATCGAATGCGATCGTGTCCAACTCGACATATTTGCCAAGATGGCGAGCGCTAGAATCAATGTGATATGCATATCCAATAGGATGCGAGATTCTTTTTTTCTCACTGATTAAGAAAAAGAAAGACAGACGGTAGACACTTTACTTCAGTTTTTTTTCTTTTTTGATCTTTTTGAGTTGAAATTATGGCTCACACTTCCTATCGTCTTCGTTGTCAACTGTACGGACACGAATCAGATGTACGTTCTGTATCAACAATAACAGAATACGATGGTATTGTTAGCGGATCAAGAGATAAAACCTCACGAATCTGGCGTCCGACTGAGTAAGTTTTTCTAAATGATCGATTTCTGTGTATATATATCAACAAGAATTCTTATTTAGTAAAACTTCCTTTGAACAGAGAACAGTTCTAAAAGATCATACAAATTTTGTTATCGCTACATGTTATATTCCCTCCAATAATCAATTTCCTGACGGGTTAATTATTACAGGTGGTAATGACAAGAAAATCTGTGTTTATTCCGCCAAACAGGGCACTCATCTATTCACACTAGAAGGACATGAACAAACAGGTAAAAACGCCCATTCTGGCTAACTGAACTTACATGTTGTTTTCTGATTTCTTTTCCAATATAGTTGCATGTTTATCTCCTGTACCACAAAGTGATCTTCTATTAAGTAGTTCATGGGATACAACTGGACGTGTTTGGTCGTTATCGAGCAAACAATGTGTACAAGTTTTACAAGGTAACTACGAACGATATGTTTCATTCTTGATCTTGTTTTCCTTTCAAAGGTCACAGCAAAGCTGTCTGGGCAATTCTATCTATGAACGATAGTGCGGATAATTCGAGAATCATCTTGACTGGTGGAGCTGATCACATTATTCTAGCATGGAAAAATCAAACAAGAACACATACGTATCAAGGTGAATGATTAAATTTTGATCAGAAAATGTACTGACATGATGCATTTTTGTATTCCTTCAATAGGTCATACAAACTGTGTTCGATCGCTATTAGCATTGAATGCGCAAGAATTTTTGTCTTGTTCGAATGATTTTACGATAAAACGATGGGATTTAAATTCGAGTCAATGCTTACAGACCTATGAAGGTCATACAAGCTTTGTGTATAGTATTGCAATGGTTTCTCCCGATCGATTTGCATCCGTGAGTGAAGATCGTTCATTACGTTTATGGTCAATAGGGAAAAGTGATTCAATTCAAACTATTCGACTCCCATCAGGAACTGTTTGGAGCGTTTGTTCATTGACTAATGGCGATGTAGTAGTCGGATGCAGGTAAATACGAACTGTCGAATGAATAAGTTTGCTGGTTTTACCATCGAGTGAATTATTTCTAGTGATGGACGTATTTGTGTTTTCACCCAAGATGAATCACGAACGGCAAACATGGAAGAAATCGCTGGATTTGAACAAGAAATTGCTTCTACTACTATTCAAACAAAGACGGGCGATTTAGGTGAAGTCAAAATTGATGATCTACCAAATGACGACGCACTGAAAAAGCCAGGAACTCGTGAAGGTCAAACGACGATGATTAATAAAGGCGACGGTCGTGTTGAAGCGTACCAATGGAACATGCTTGATCAACGATGGATGAAAATCGGTGATGTGGTCGGCTCAGCCGATAGTACAGCACAAGGACAAGCATCAGCAACTGGCGAAAAGATTATGTTCGAAGGAAAATATTACGATTATGTCTTCAATGTGGATTTGGATGAAGGTATTCCGTTGAAACTTCCCTATAACGTCTCGGAAGATCCATGGTTCGCTGCTCAAGCATTTATACATCGGCATGATTTAAATCAAATGTTTCTCGATCAAATTGCGCAATTCATCATTACAAATACGAAAGGAATGGTTATTGATCAAAGAGCATCGGATTTTGCAGATCCGTTCACTGGTAAGAATCCTTCGAAAAAAACTCGTTCCGTATGAATATGGTTGTTTAGGGGGCGGACGCTACGTTCCAGGTGGTTCATCAGAAAAAAGTACAAGCGCCGGTCAGAAAAGTAACAATGATCCATTTACAGGTGCTGGACGTTACGTTCCAGACGGTCAATCTTCTACCACTAAAAAACCAAACAATATCAATCAAGATCCATTCACAGGTGCTGGACGTTATGTTCCAAATGGTGATAATAATCAATTGTCGAGACCATTATCAGCTTCACAATCATCTGTTATAAGTAAGTGTTTACTTGATTAAGTAATACACTGATGTTTTCCTGTTTAGAATCAGATAAAGACGTCGAACTATCGACGACATTTCCTCAAACTCAATATGTTACTATGAGTAATGCCGATACCGCAAAAATTCTAGGTAAACTCAAAGAATTCAATGAAAGTGCGGCTGGTGATGTTGGTCTTCGTTTAACCGATGTTCAATTACAAGAAATAGGTGGATTGGCCAATGGAAATATCGATAACCTAGAAGAAAAGCTCACTCTTCTCTTTCAACTACTCAAATGGCCTATAAGTAAAAGCCCTACCAATTTTTAACTTCTTTCTTTCACTTCGCGTCATTATTTCTTGTAGACAAAATCTTTCCAATATTAGATATTATTCGTTTGCTCGTTCTTCAACCAGATGTATGCAAATACTTGTTCGAAACTGAAGCGCGTTCGAACGAATTTATCTCCGAACTGTTCTCCGTTCTTCAACCTGATCAGTCCGCGAACATCATGTTAATATTTCGTACATTGACCAATTTATTTTCGAATGATTTAGGCGAAAAGTATCTGATCAAAAACAGCAATTCAATCTTAGCTAAAACATTGATTTACCTCCCATTGGCGAAGAAAAATACGCAAGTAGCATTGACAAATGTGATCTTAAACTATTGTATTTACGCTTATCGAAGTAATGATCAACGTCTTTCGAATTATTTATATGAATGTTACAAAGAATTTGTTGATATTCAATTGGAATCGGACGGTGCTCGACGACTCTTACTCGCCCTAGGAACACTGTTTTTAACCAATGCAGAAATTGTTCTTAATGTCCAAACAACCTCTGATAATAGTGCGAAACGGTTTTTTTCTGCGTTGGAAAAATCAGCGTCGCAGTTTACTGCTGAAACACTCGAATGCTTTGAGCGATGTCGTGCACTTATTAAAAGTTTGTGAGTTTTAACGACAAAAAAAAATGCCACGCACAAGTTTATTCATATCCCATCTCTAAATAAATCCCGAACTCTCTTTTTCTTTTCTATACTAAATAAACACGAAGCATAGTCCTCAAATCAATTGTCTCTCTTCGATCTAGATGTTTTCACATTCATCGTCATTGTGGACAAAAAGTAAATCAAATAAGTTAGATCGACCTCGTCCACCATCACCATGGACAAACGATCTCGCTGATCAAGGACTTGCCGTTTTTGTTGTACAAGCAAGTAGATCTACTAACCTGAATGAAATAATTGCCATGTACGCTTGATAACATTCTGCTTTTGCATTAGTGCTAATCACTGGAAATGAAAGAACAAGTTTTTCTCTTTTCGATTGTTAGTGTGCGGGAACAGTGGATTTAACACACGACGATGATGTCGACTTTTCCTATAAAAAGAAATTTCTGCAATTCATTTACCAATGTCAGGTAGAGTAAGCCGCTGATGAATGAGAAAACAAGCAAAGCATGTGTATAACGTAGATTGCACGACGGTTACCAAAGAAATTATCGGAAAAATCTGCTGTACAGTTGCATATCACTACGGAACAAATTAAATTACTCAATACTCATCAAGTATATACTTGTTGATAGAGAAGATCTCTGTATTTCCTAGTTAATTTTATTTTGATCAGAAAACAATTCTTTCGATTCCTTCACATCACATTATTGCTTGTTACTATGTTGAATACGACAAGGATCATATTGTAGGAATGAAATACGGTAAAAAGGATTTTCTTCTCATTGTTCAATGTTTCACTTAAATGGATTTATTCAGTTTCGGCCAAAGATAAAGCTTCAACTGTTGAACTAATCATTTTCTTGCTCAATGATCGACACGAAGCAGATGAACTGTGTTCATCCATGGACTTCTGTTTTCGTGCAATCTACATCACAAATGAACAAAACTCTGACATTAGTAAAAAGTTATCTCTATTAACAATTTCCCTTTCTTCAACACAACAATTGCGCAGTTCAATTGGTTCAACAACATCGTCGTCACCTTCAACTGTTCGTTCCCTGTCGGTGGCATCGGCATCATCGTCATCGCGCGTTGTCGTACTAGATTCTTCAACAATTACCAGTGAGGATGCATCAACACCACGACGAAGACATCGGTAAATTAATTGACTAATTTGATTTTCTAGTTTAACCAGGATATGTTTAGACGACCACGCGCACGACATGATGATGCCTCTCCCAATCGGTCATCAGCAAAAACTACGGCAAAAATCATTCAAAAATATCTTCTCGATGTTTGTTTTTCAACAGTTGTCTTCGCCATAAAGATATTCTTGTTATTTCTAGTTACAATTGGAACTGAAAAATAATGAATTAGCTGAATTCGGTAAATTATTGACGGAATGGCAATCGAATCAATTGACAACAAAATCATTTGTGAAGAAAACTGCTCGGCTTTATGGCGAATCACGACGAAATCTACTTGATGGTATCGATACTAAACTTTCCTTTATCTATGATATACATATCGTTTATAGGTTTACACGATTTTCTTCCGATCGATGAACAAATATGGTTTCTTGATTACTTGGATAATCTCAAAACAACGAAATCATCATTATTTAACAGTACTGAATCACTGGAGAGAATCGAGACGTTGTAACCTGCCGTTTCCGTTATTCATTTGAAAATAAATATATTCATACGGGAAAGAAAAGAGATAAACACGTGGTTCAGTTCGTTATATATAGGAATGTTCAATACATGTACAAAGCATAAAAACATGACGAGCCAAATATTTAGTCAAGGAATTCATTTGATTGAAAAGTCCGATTTTAGTCTGTTACGATTGTACATTGAACAGGAAGTTTCAAATGCTAGCTTACAACAATTGGTGGAAAAAATCCAGAACTCGAACGACTCGGAAGTAAGTAAAGTAAAATAAACTAATTATAGATGAAATGACCAATGAATATGTTAGACATGTTTCTATCCGTTCGATATTCCTATTCGATTGGACAAATGTTATCAGATATCAGGTAAAGGTGGATCGATTTTCGTATCGAACAAGAGAATATTTTGTGTAGATTGCTTTACTGAGTTTATTCTTCATCAACAAAGACGAGCAACTATCTTTGCACAACAAGTATCAAGGAAATAGACTTGTTTTCACAAACACGAGCGATTCTATTTTTCAGATTATCTATAAGAATGTGAAAAGTTTGTGTTGTCATCCAAATCAAATCGCAATTCGGTTTATTTATGATAAACTACCACCACGACCAGAGTAAGTCGCATTACTGTTCATATTCGACTGAGATAAAAAGATCGATCGTAGATTTCGAGTGTTATCCAACACTTCGCAAGCCGATTTACTTTCTCGTTCGCATCCCGTCCGTCTGAGTGGTACTATCATTGCATCAAGTGCTGTTTTACCGTACATGTATGTCTAGATTAAGTTTTGCATGGCGCTGTTTTGGTGAATACTGATCGCGAGGCTATTTTAGACGTGGATTAAAATATGTATGTCATAGTTCGCTGTGTCCTTTCAATGATCGAAAACGACAAACATTCGTTTTGTTCGATGTTGAACATCCACATGGTTGCAAAGTTGGAGAGTAAGAAATGCGAAATAGTATGAAAAGAAATTTATCTTTACATGATTGATGGAGTTGTAGAACTATTCTATGTGAAGGTTGCGATTTGTTTTTAAATGAAGATATTAACAAACGTTGGATTTCTGGTGAGAACACTTGCGTTTTTGTGCGATAATGTTTCTAATTCTAGTGTTTGTGTAGAGAAACTTCTTATCGCAGTGAAAATCAAAGAACCTAAAACACCCATTCTTGCTTCTGGATACAATCTTGACATGGATTTTGTCTTATCACACACATATACGATCATCGTTCGTGGTAAGTTACATGTCATTCTTTACTTGGATACAAAATTACTTTTTCGCGTAGACGAATATGTTGCACGTATACGTCTAGGTGGCAAATATAACTTCATCTGCTATGCTGTAAATGATTCTCATTCGAATAGAGTCATGTTTGAAGTATGTATGAATAATCAAGACGTCTCCTAAACATTTCTTGTGTTACTTGTAGACATTACATTGTGAGTTGCTTCAACCGTGTCGTCTTTCACTACCTGATTCTATTCGTCAACTACATTACACTTTTGCACATCGTCATTCATTCAGTTTTCTCAATCTTCTCTCGACACTTTTCTGTCGTATGTGTCAATTTGTCGTTATTCGATTTATTAATCAAAGTTCATTTCTAGCGCATATTCAATTGGTCAAATATTGCACTCATGTCAAAATGGGTCTGATATTGAGTCTGGTTTCATCATCACTTCATATTCTTCTCGTCGGGAATGAAAGTCGGGCAGCTGATATACTTTGTCAAACAGCACTGAAATATGCTGAACATGGAATTATCCATCGACAACAGTATCCGCTAACATTGGCATCGATTTCAAAAACGAAACATCGATCATTTATTGTTTCTGGTGAGTCCGTTCTGTATTTTATTGATTACTTGTCAGGTATTTCGTTGGCAGCCGGTTCAATAGCGATCGCTTCGGATGGAATCACTTATTTGGGAAGTATTGATAGTTTAAGTAGAGCGCAATTAAAACAACTTCATTCTGGTAACCGATTTATCTACACAGACCTTTGATTTCTACTTACTGTATAGCATTCGAAACCAAAACACTTAGTATTGAAGTGAACAAAAGCGAAGAATCTTCAAAAATTGTCTATAGTGTGCCGTTTAACAGTAATATTTGGGCTTATCATGATAGTCGTTTGTGGTTACAAGCTGATCGAGTGACCGAACCAACAAATGATCTGTCACCAGCAATAACAGAGTAAAATCTGTTTTTTTTTTGTATTCTACATCATTGATTACGAAACTCAATTTTCTTGAATAGTGCGTTCAGTTTGGTGTTACCACTTGATGAGATCGAATACGAATACGGTGAGAATGTTTACGAATGCTTACTTTTCCCTAATAATTAATGCGTAGCTAGAAGAAACAGTGGATAATTATTTGGATTCAATATTAACAATGGACAATCAACAAGAAACAATGGACCAGCAAACTAGTCAATGGATCGATGATATTCGTAGTGTAATTTTGTAAAAAATTTCCTATGCACTAATCTATTTGTTTTAACTAATCTTTCTAGTTTCTCACCTATGCTCGAACGATGGAAATGCCATTGAGTTACGAAGCTGAACAACTTCTAAAGAAATACTTTTGCGCATGTCGTCGAACTAAACGTACTCTTTTTTCCTATACTGAACTTCCAGCAACGACTACTGATGTCTTGTAAATCATTGCCAAAGTCCACTCATCTACACATCGTTCATTGATTTTAGAACACAAGTATGCGAAGCAATTGCGAAGTGTAATGCTCATATCGAAGCGACCGTTACGGATATGATCCTTGCCATCTATCTCTTCGAAATTTCCACAATGACACGACTGGGTTAGGAATTACAGTTATACTAGAAGTCGTTTTGATTCATTCGTTTCATTTAGGTTGTGAGAATCTCGTTAAAGAACATTATCGATCACCGCCTGTGCTAACTGATCCAATGCTAATCGATGCAGTGAGTCTCTTCTAACTCTTCTTGAGAATATGTTCCATTGGATTTCAGATTGAACAACGTATGGTTCTATTTTCGCAAGAACTTACGATCTTCTGTGATGAATATACATCGTCAACGAATGTACAATCATGTTCATCTTCGTTTTTCTAACTTTCTCCTCTGTTTAATCAGATCAGTTCGTCGGCGCGTTTTTGAAAATGTCTGAGGACAATCGTTCGGCTGTTTTTCTCCGCGATTTTGAACCGTCCGCTGTTCGACTTAAACGTAAACTTCGTCTAATTCTCAATAAAAATCTACGACAAGAAAAACTCGCTGAAAAGAATGTAACTCTTCTTGAATTCATTGTCTATTTAAGTAAAATCTATTGTATCTCTTCCGATTAACATTCATTTCAACCGATATAGTTTTACTCATCATTGCCACGACTATTTCCACTACATATCACCTTTCCCAAGATCTTTTCTACACTGATAGGTGTATACGACGGTTACTAGTAAATAAACTTCAATTATACAATGTCAAAACTGTCGATGAACTTTGGCACTATCTACTTCGGTTAAACGACGAAATTTATAGTGCGAATATTTGATAATTCTCAAGTTTGAATGTTATTTTTATTTCTCCATCTCTAGATACCATTCTGATTGTGAATGATACGCAAGGAAGTTCAAGTCCACAGATTTTATTGTCCAATGAGAATTTCATTTTTGGTACTCCTCGTTTGCGTCAGTTGCGTGTGAACAATTCATTCTGTCAGCTCATCGGAGATCTCAGTAAACAACCAATTCATTGTCATGCCCCATATCATAAATCAAAAGAATATCGAACAGATTTCAAGACCTTCAATGGACTCGAATATGTCTACACGTCACCGAACACCATATCTGCGTTTCAACTAAGGAATAAATATGGTCCGTACGATATCGGTGGTTTTATATACCAGTTTCGACAAACAAAAGCGATGAATTTCGTAAATCTGCATATTCTAAACAAAGGCGGATGGCTCAGTGTCGATACTCGAGCAGTTCTTCTCGAATTCATATATTTCAATCCGAATACAGAGTTATTCACTTCAATCAATATCCTTTTCGAGTTTCTCACCACTGGTAAAGTCTCTGAATGTACTACGAATTGATAAAGACAATCGAATTGATTTTTAGGTCTGATCGAAACGAAAGATTTCTTCTATACTATACCCATTAGCAGTTATTTTATTGGACGGAAATCATGGCTAGGTGTCTTTCAAATCTTATTCCTTCTATACTACTTTCTCTTTACATTTTATTATGTTGGTAGTATTGCTAGATATCGCCTATGGTTCGTCGTCTCTTCATATTGGAATGTATACGATCTTGCTCTTCTGATTCTTTCGACCATATCGATTGCTTTTGATATTCGATATTTACTCAATATTGGCAGTGTTTTAACATGTTTATCGAAACCAAAAGATGACATTTACAAAGAATTGGTTCCATTTTTTGAAATACAGCGAACTCGCTTGGATTTGCAAGCATATCTAACAGCACTGATTCTTGTACGTTTACTTCGGTTCCTACCACACTTTTCACATTTGATTTCCAACTTACTCAATGTCTTTTATAAATCGATTCGAAATTCCGTCGGTTTTCTTCTCTTGTTCTTCATCATTTTCATGTCATTCGTCGTCTTTGCAACGTTTTATTATGGTGATGAACTGTACGAAGTGAGTTCATTTCTTTCGAATCGTTCTGCCGTTCCCTCGTCTCATTCTTAGTTTCACACGTTTACACTAGCTGCATATACGCTCATTCGGTGTACTCTAGGCCAATTTGAATACGATCGTGCGTATCGTGTTTCTCCGACTTGGACTCCCGTAGGAAGATTTGTCCTCCTCGATCTGAACACTGACTTCATGCTTTAGATCTTCTACATGTTATATGTCTGTATCGTCTTTTTTGTCTTAATCAATCTGTTCATTGCAGTCATCAACGAAACTTATGTGTTAGGAAAACAAGAACAAAAGCAGATCGAAGAGGATATTCAGGAAGAATATACTGGAAGGAAAAAAGGTCAACGGTTAAATACTTTTCGTCGGTCGAAACGACCAGTTCTTCAACTCGAAGTAATTCTAATAATTAATCATCTTCTGAAACTGTTCTTCAATAAATCGATTGATCTGAATGATGCGCAAGCTGATGATGACGACGACGACAACGATAATGATGATGATGATGATAACGAGAGCATGTCTTTAGAAGAAAAACAGACAATTATTACGGGGAAACTACGAAAAAATCTTCTGAAAGAAGGGTATGGACAAGATGTAATTGAAAAGTTCTTTCAACGAGTGTTAGGCGAGAACGACGAGGAGAATGGAGATGATAATGACGATTTTTCTATATTAAAAATGGGAGAGAATCAAGCTATCAAAGTTCTTTATGATGAATTCAAAATATTTAATAATCAATATGAAAAATTAGCACAAGATTGGCGAAAAACAGCGACAACCACACGAGAATTAATTCTCGCTGATTCAATCGATGTTGAACAAGCAATGTTAATGAGAAATCATTTGAATAATCTTGATCAGCGTTTCGAAAACTTGAAAACTATCATTCCGAACGTACTGAAGAGTATTGTTGATCTTTATGTAAATCGTTTATCAACAAATCAAATAAATAAAAAAGAAAATTAAATTGTCGAAGTACTCATCGGCACTGACGTTGTCAGAGACGATGCTGCTGACACAGGTAACATTACTGATGATGCCATAGAATCAGTTTGAACCATTAGACTAGATACAACTTGCTCGAAACGTTTCGATTTCAATTGAGTAATTGGCTCATAGAACGGATTCGATATACAATCAATGTATGCTTGATGAAGACGTTGGAAAAGTAGTTTAATGTCAGCATCTTTCAAAGAAATCGAGGTTGAATGTTCGAATATTAAGATAAATTTGACACGTGTTGGCGAAACATAGCCATATCTAAATGAATAGGTAAGAAGAGGTAACAATTATCTAAGATTTGACTTACATCTTGTATTCTTCGACTGGATAGAGTAAACCTAGATAGAAATCTTTCGCATCACGGTCACCACCGGGCTTAGTCAATTGGTTCACCTTATCGTCGAGTATATCGATCGACGCATGAATTAGGAAAAGAAATTTCAATTCCTCCGTTGATCGTCGAAGGTAAATCAAATTCTATACAGAAAATCATCTCGATTATCATTGATGGAACTTCATAATCATTTACTTCTTTAATCAGAACTGCTACACAGCAAGCCATTGATAAAAATAAAACTGAACTGAAGACGATGATAATGTGAGCTGTATTTCTATTGGCTATGAAGATAAACTAGTAGGATAAGGAATGTGTCGCCAGAAGTTAACGACGTGAGTACATAGTAACCGCATCGTGACAACGATTTAGTCGATGGTTGATAAATTTTCTTAGCAGAAAGTCTCACATTGCAAGATTTGATTAAGCAATAGAATGTCGCTTTTTTCCAATCCGTTCACTATCAAGAAAACCAAACCGCGAAAGTATGTTTCGCGTAGTCCACTCAAGCTACCAGCTGATGAGATGGCTCGTGAATTAGGTCCACGCTATGGAGAGATTGATGTTAGAGTAGCCGAGAAGAAAATTGTCTTCGATCTTGAGAATGGCGATTGGAATACTGGTAGGTGATATTCGAGACCATTCACATGATTAGTTCGATTCTTTTTCATTTAGCGGGCGCAGAAAGCCTCGGTAGTGGAGCATCGAGTGCCTCGGCACAAAAACTCAACAAACAAGTGACAGTTTTACAAGAAGAGAATAATATGTTAAAACTAAAAGTTGATGTTTTATTGAATCTTGTTGCCGAATCCATTGCCGAATTATCATCTACACAGAAGTGAATGTTCTATTGTGCGTTTTGCTTTTTTTATATGGTTGAAAATCTTTGTGGATAGATAGATCGTTTCGTCTAGTGTTTGTTTATTTCTTACTTTTTCTTTGAAATAAACAAATCCCTTTGTTTGAACGCAAACGACCGGTTGGAGGAACCAATCATCTTCTTGTCGTTTTTCCATTCGATAAAAGATCGTTTGACAGCTGATGAAATGATTCATTCTGTTCGGACATTGTGTTTTATATTTCATTTCTATTTCGATTCAAGTGAAATATACAATTGAGCACTTTTTCGATGCATCCATATGTACTTGATGGTTTGACAGTTTTGTTTCCATTTGAAGCTTATCAATGTCAAGTGGATTACATGAAAGCGGTTGTAGCATGTCTAGTGAGAGGACAGAATGGTATACTTGAAAGTCCAACTGGTAAAAGCGACATTTGAGTGATAATTTGTGAAGGAAAATCAAACTTTTAGGTACTGGAAAGACCCTTTCTCTTCTCTGTGCGTCTCTTGCTTGGCTCGAACAATATAAAATCTTGAATGCAGAATTAAACGGTAGAAATCTATTGAAGAATTTTGTCGTATTGTGAAAGGTAGTGATGTTTTAGAGGCACCAGTTCAGATTATTTACGCGTCGCGCACCCATTCTCAGTTGGCACAAGTTGTAAAAGAATTCAAATCAACCGATTACAAGTATTTCGATAATCAAACATGTTCAGTTCTTGAAATTATAAGTGAATTTTCTTTTCTTCTAGCCGGATGAAAATAACTGTTTTAGGTTCACGCGATCAATTATGTATTCATCCTGAAGTGAAAGCATTGGAAAACTCGTCCGATAAAATATCTGTCTGTCGGGAAAAAGTTCGTCAGAAAACATGCTTATTCCATCGAAATTTCGAAAGTATATAACCAGAATTCGAATTCTTACTTTCATCCTATTGAATTCTAGTGACAAAGCCTGAAGTTGTCAAATTACCACCGATGGACATCGAAGATCTCGTCAAAGAAGGAACTCAGAAAAAGTAGGAAAACTTTTTCGAATGGCATTCTGTATCATCGAGCGTTTTAGATTCTGTCCGTATTTTGCCGCAAGAGAATTGAAAGAAAAAGCCGATATTATCTTCATGCCGTACAATTATTTACTCGATGCTAAGGTATATTTCTTCTAGAAGAAAACCTAATGTTGAACAATGATGTACTTCAGGCTCGGCGAATTCATAAAATCAATGTTCGAAAGTGTGTGCTGATATTTGATGAGGCACATAACATCGAACAGCAATGCGAAGATGCTGCTTCAGTAGTTATTAGTTCATTGGACTTAGCTGGTTGTCTCGAAGATATTACGAAAGTGATGCAATGGATGATTGACTCTCAATCCGCAACAACAGCACCGGTCGATGAAAATGACGAGAATAATGTTGATGCAAATGGTAATCTATTCACCGATTAACATTCGAATTCTTTTGCACAATTTGTAGCGATTCTTTTCAGCTTTATCAGTGACACAAGACCAAATTTGTAATCTGAAATGTAAGTAAATATACATTCGACAAGAGAAAGTGATTTGATTTGGATATTTTTAGTAAAAGTCGTCAAATTGGAAGAATTGTTGGATAATATGAAAACAACTAAAGGAAATATTCCATCGCCTGGCGAGTATGTTCAGTTTGAATAAAAGAAAGCAAATCAATGACAGAATTTCCGATTAGTACGGCTTACAAATGGTTAAAAAGTGCAGAAATCGACTTCAACCCACAAGGAGATGTTCAACATCTACTAGATATCAATCAGTTTATGGCCGCCCGATGTAAATGTCAGATTCTGGAAAAGAATGTTAATCTCGCTCTATATCTGATTTAGCCAATACAATCTTTCGTTCGAATGGACATTCACTTCTGAAATTATCAGAATTTATCGAAGTATAACACCTTCTTCATTACATATAATTGAACTGTCTTCATTTCTACATTAGACTGTCTATCCATTAGATGAAAATGGGCAACCGTTATTCACACTCGATATGGATGCTCAACGGAAAGGTGTTTTCAAAGTAAATCATTCTTAATTCAATTCATAATCATCAACGTACGTATAGGTCTATCTCGAAGAAGAAACATCAAATAATGAACAAAGACCATCCATCATTACTGCAAAACGTTCGTGTTTCAATCTAAACAAAACTTTCTTGATGATTTCTTGTGTTTAGGACCAAAAAAGCTTCACTATTGGTGTTTATCACCTGGATTTGCTATGCGACAATTATGCATGCAAAATACACGATCGATTCTTTTAACTAGTGGAACACTTTCACCGATTGACTCGTTCAAAGCACAATTAGCAATGTAATCAATTCTCTCCTCGATCACCAGGCGTTTTCATAATGATATAAATACTTATTCTAGTCCATTTGATATTGTTATTCAAAACAATCATATTATCGAGCAGAATCAATTGTTTGCAGGCATTTTACCTCGATCAGCTGGTAACAAACACCTTCTTACATCTGTTTATCGTACACGGTAATGTTCTTCTCTTTGGTGAAAGAATGAATATATATTTTTGATGTAGACAAAATCCTGAATATCAAGAAGCATTAGGCCAAACTTTACATAATGTTATAAAAAACATTCCTGGTGGTGTCCTGGTCTTTTTTCCTTGTTATAAAATGATTGAAGAAGTTGTCGCAACATGGAAGGTAGATTTTGCTGCAAAGAATCAAATGATGAATCTAACTGTCTTTAGAATAATGCAACATTTGAAACTATGAATCAACGGAAACGAGTTCTTATCGAACAGCGAAATAAAGCGAAATTTGAAAGTCAAATGAAAGAATTCAATACAATAATTGATAACGACGAAAGAGGAGCTATGTTGTTTGCAGTTGCTCGAGGCAAATTGAGCGAAGGCATAGATTTCAGTGATAAATCCTGTCGAGCAGTAATCATTATTGGCATCCCATTTGCACCACATCAAGATCGACGAGTAGTTGCTAAACGACATTATTTGGATGAAAACAATCGAGGAAATGTATGTGAAATTGTCTTGATGCACTATTTCAAAGGTTGTATATAATAGAAAGATGCAATGTCTGGTGATACGTGGTACAGTCAACAAGCTTTTCGAGCAATCAATCAATGCGTTGGACGTGTAATTCGACATCGACGTGATTATGGCGCTGTGCTGTTTTTTGATCAACGGTTTGGACGAGTTTTCATTAATTGTCTTGTCACAGAACTATGTGTTTGTGAAATAGGTTCGAGAATAATAAGGATAAACTGTCGAAATGGCTTTGTCCATATGTTCATACAGTTGATTTTACTGGTATGATGAAAGGTTTAAAAGACTTCTTTGCCCAAGTAATTTGTCTTCTTCTCTTTGTCGTTGAGTGGTTTATCATTGCCTTTTCTCTAGTATTCGTCGATCTCCACTGCTGAACAATCCACACGTCCAATTCAACAAGCATTCTTTGCATCGATAGGACATATAACAACGACATCAAAATCGTCTATGCAACAAGCAGTTTCGTCGGAAGATATTTTTCAGACAACCATAAAACAATCTAGTAAATACGATTGTTCATCATAGATAAATCTCAAAATCTTTATAATTTCATTTACAGTAAAAACCACAGATGAAGATACTTCAAACAAATCGAATCTTGTTCATAAGTCTTTATTTGATGCTATATCTTCAACACAACGAGTAAGAGACAAAGAAAGTTTGGAATAGAAATCGAGATGTTTCTTTTATTTTTTAGACCGGTCCAACAGTAGCTTTGCAAAACACTGGAACCGATGATGTTGGTATTCGCCTTGAATTACAGATCAATTCATTTTGAGGTGTATTTTTCTTAGAAACAACGTGATTTCGATGCGATGCTGGAGATGAAGCGACGAGAAGCAACGCGAGTTGAATCATTACCTCGGAAATTTTTTCGAACTACGGAAACAGTAAAACAAGGCTATGTGTACTTCATAAATCTAACTAGTACGGCTTATTTAGTTCGAAGATAATTCATCGATTTTGCCAAGTAATACTCCGACCACATCGGTAGCAAATGCAAAAACTTCAGAATACAGAGAACTATTGAGTCAAGTAATCACCAACAAGAATTTGAACTCAACCTAACGGTTTAATTGTAGTTGAAAGCTGCCATGTCACACGGAATTTATCCACGTTTTACGCATATGCTACAGGATCATAAAACTCACAAAACAGATCGAGAAATTTATCTAAAACTACAAACAGTTCTAGTTGAGAGTTTGGCAAAACATCATCCTAAACTCTTCATGGGTAAGATTTACCATGTACACAATGACAAATAACTACAAAAAATCTCATTTCAGACATGGCTCGACACATTAGTGCCGAATTTCGACAAGAATATATTCAAGCAGGTCAAACTCATTCTCCATCGAATAATGCTCAGCAGACTCTCACAGTTTTGAGTAGCAACAAAAGAAAAGATGTCTCCTCACCCAGTGATCAAGATATGCCCTCACCAAAAGTAATTAAATGTAAGTCGAGTTATGATAAAGTGCGTTTGTTTCAAAATCTTGTGTTTATTTTAGCAGGTCAGAGCATTAATCCATTTCGATGTAAATGATTCATTCAATCGAATGTATCCGTGTTCATGTTTCAGTTAATATTATCAAAATAAGATGAATTATACATATATATTTGGATGTATCTATTTTTTGTGTTTTTCTATTTTTGTATCATGGAAATAGAACTATAATCATATTTTGTTAAATCAACTGGTAATTTCAATCGTATCTTAGACTTTCCAAGTACATAGTCAACCTGCTGTGTGGATATTTTAGAGTACGAATGTATTACAGTAAAGACGGAGATAATTGATTTCATTTATTGTAATATAATATAGCTTCTAATAGATTGAAATACCTGGAATACTATTACATTCTGAAAGAAAAAAGCTTTTAAGAACCATAAGCGATAGTAAAGGTTGTGATAGTGATTTTTCTTATCACATCGCAGTTAAGTGATTTTCTTTTATCTTGACGTTGACAACTGATGCCCTCTATCTTGCTCGTTCTTACAGTTAGGATGGTTAACCAACAGTATAGTTGAGTCCTTGAATGCCGATGCACATGTTCTTCTATCATCTACGCGTCAAAAGAACCTAGTAAAACTTCAAAGTTTCTTTCGATTACTTCACATCCAATTCCATCTATATCATGGGTAACACAGCATCACATAGTACGACGACGAATTCCAAAAAGTCAGAGAATAAATCTCAACATAAAGATCAAATCTATGAACAAATCATTGGTTCATTATCTAAAGTAAAATGATTACTTGTGATTTCTTTCGTTCGTTCAATGCAGAGATTTTAGATATGCACTGATGATCAATTTCCTTTGAATATATTCCGTCAAAAAGCGGATATATCGACGCATCATCGCATCATCGAAATCGTCTCATCTCCACGACTTTCTGATGAATTTTCCAGTCTCATAGTTCAACTCTACTGGAATAACCGTTCAAATATTTCTCGTAATGGTAAGAAAGTTCACTCCAAATGATCTAAACTGATCTGTATCAACAATTAGATGTGACAAAACTAATTCATGATTGTTGTGTCTTCGATTTAAAACAAGTCTTATCAGAGCATGGAAGCACAGTTGAATCTAATATGATTGAAAACAATTGTTTCATAGCATTGACAAATAGCATTGGCACAGCAGAAAACACACAGATTGACCAAGAAGAATTTTATCGTTGGGTACGAGTACAGTTTCCAACATTGTTCTATTGTCTGGAATTATGGCTTCGAAAGAATGCTACATTAACAGAAACAACCAAAGAGTCCGCCTCGGTAGAAGAAACGTTAAGAATTTCTTTCGATTCGTTCGTTTTCGTCTTTTAGAATCGCACATTGATGAAAATGGACAATATTCTTAATCCAACATGGATTTGGTTATTAACTCATCAACTTCCTATTGTATATCTTTCCGCTGACAAAACTTGTACGAACTTATTCGATCGAATGTCTTCACTTTTAGTAAGATAATGCAATAATTTGTCGTAGATGCATTCTTATTCTAAAATATGATTTTTACCAAGCATGGTCGCATGTGGGATCATCTGTACAACAGCCATCGTGACGGCGCTAGTTTAAATCGGTATAGAAAATTATTTTTAACAGGAATGAATTATCTATCGAGAATGTGCAACTAGATTTCAACATCATATTTTTGGCTATAAAGCAGCATTAGTTATGCTGTTTGAAATTTCCGATGGTTATTTATTCTGTTTATGCTGTGATGAAGAATTCAAGTATGAAAGGGACTAGACGATTGAGAATTTATTTGAAGAGTGTATTTATAGAGAATCGCCGAAATATTTTGGTGGAATTCAAACGTGTTTATTGCAATTAAAACCTGTTTTTAAACTTATTCTTGGTGAGAGAAAATTCGAACTGTTTTGCTTTAGTAAGAATTTTTTCGTTTTTTAGAAGGTTCACATATAATTTTCATGAATACGAAATTGCGTAGCATTTCAACACTGGGCCTGTGTGTTGGCCGTGATCATGGTCATACATTTTTGAGCATTGACGAGGACTTCTTTAATGTCAAACATATAAACGGTGAAGGACGACTCGTTGCTATTGATGTATGGGGTACTGGAGGAAAGAAGAGTTCCGAAGAACAAAATGATATGCGTCAATGGGAAGAGAGACAAGTGGAAAAGAGTAAAAAAGTAAAGATGCGAAAAAAGAATTGTCTTCTCTTTCTATAATTTTCGATATGTAGGTGAAACGATCTTATGAAGAAGAAGAGGCTGTCCTCAACATGGCCGGTATTGAAACACGTCATGCCCAAGATCAATTTTAAACTTTTTATTTGATGTATATGCGCAATAAAGATTAATAAAGAATTCAAAAAGCGAGATTGTGCAAATATAGAAATGAATTATGTTTGAAATGTTTTTAGATAGATCTGAATGGCCAATGTTTTCCGTCAATTTTTACTGGATGCTGAAAATGGTGATGTCGATGCAGTCAAAAGAAATATCACAAGTGGAATTGATTTAGAAACGCGTGATGAAGTAGGAAATACTTGTAAATAAGAAATAAGTTAAATGTGAAATTTAGGATCAACAAACCGCACTTATTCTAGCTGTACGTTGTAATCATTTGGAGTGTGTCAAAGTACTTATCGAAGCGAACGCTGATGTTAATGCAGAGGATGTAGTAAGTTGTACGAGTAAACAGAATTCCTGTCTAACGGTTCATTCTTCTTTCATTTAGGATAATTGGACAGCCTTATTAAATGCAGCTCAGAATGGAAATCTAAGTATTATTCGACTCCTCATCGAACATGATGCACAGATTGACCATTGTGATTGTGTGAGTATAGGATGATCTTTTTTGACAATCAGAATCAGCATGAATTTCACAGGGACAATTCACGCCTTTAATGTGGGCAGCTTATCAAGGACATGCAAGAGTAGTAGATTATTTATTGAGTTGCGGTGCTAATGTTGACGCAGTTGATGAACACGGAATTTCCAGTTTAAGTTGGGCAGCAGGACGAAATCATATTGAAATTGTTGCATCACTACTTCGAGCTGGAGCCTCACCTAATTTATGCGATAAGAATAACACAACACCATTGATTTGGGCTAGTCGACGGGGTAGGTATTATTAGAAGTGTGTAAATGAAACTGGATCGTATTTATCTATTAGGTTATACGGATATTGTTGATTTGTTGCTGAAATCGAATGCTAGTGTAAATAATATCGGAATGAAAAATATGACGGCATTACTCATGGCGACGAAAGGCGGACATACAGAAACAGCTCTTCGTTTACTCGAAAATCGAGTTATTGATATTAAAATTCAAGATAAAGTAAAAATAAGAAGCTTTTTTTCCTTATTTTCAACTAATCACTGAACAGGATGGACAAACACCATTGAGTCATGCATGCGCGCAAGGTTTGACAGATGTTGTTGCTGAACTTGTTCGACGTCATGCTTATGTTAATACAGTCGATAAGGTATGATTGAAAATATGGCTTAAACTTTCAATAAATGATTGTTTTTTTTCTCAGAATGGCGATCCTGTTCTTTTCTATGCTGTCAGAGGTGGAAAAGAAGATTGTGTTGCAATAATTCTAGAGAACCATGCTGATATCAATGCGATCGGTGCTGTAAGTATTCGTACTTATGATACTCTTATTGTATTGTCTGATCTACTATCAAAATCAAGGAAAATAAAACAGCCATTTGGTGGGCAGTTGAACGAGGTCGATTAGATGTTGTGAAATATCTTCTTCAATTTAACCCTGATGTCGAAGTGGGAGGTGGTGAAGATGATGACACACCACTTTTACTAGCAACAAAACGCAAACGTGTAGCAATTGTCTATGAATTAATCAAATATGGTGCTAAATTATCTTCTACTGATCGCGTAAGATTTCTGCTATGTCTAAAACATACTGTTGTAATCTGCATGCGCCTATTTAGTACGGAGATAATAGTTTGCATATTGCATTACGTAATCGTAGTCGTGATATCGCAGATATTTTACTCTCGAATCCACGTCATTCGAAATATCTCTATCGACCTAATAAACGTGGTGAAACTCCGTATAAAATTGATGCTAGCTTACAAAAAAGCATTTTAACGACGATCTTTGGACAACGTATGTGAACATTCGAGAGATTGAATTGATGAGTTAATGCTTTACTTCGTTGTACTAGGAACATTAAATTTGAATGATGATTCGATTTTGGGATATGATTTGTATTCATCAGCATTAGCAGAAATTCTAAGTGAACCATCGCTTCGAACTCCCATCACCGTGGTAAATAAAATCCGCATTTTCCTTCACCTTCCGAAAATGTTTTATGTCTTAGGGTCTCTATGCTAAATGGGGCAGTGGAAAATCAGGATTACTGACACATTTAAAAGGTAATATTCTGAAGAATTCAATCGTAATTATTCGTTTTTTTTTCTTCCAGAGGAGATGTACAGTTTCGCGCAATTAACAGGTACACATTCCGCACGAAAACTTTTTCTTTTGCTATGCCCGAAAATGTCTTTAGATTTTCCCACAATGAAATTTTCTCCATTACTTCTATCAGTCATGATACTATGTGCAATGATTATTGGTCTGATTATTGGTTTTACTGTTCATTTCATTGTTGGCATAACACTTGGTGTAGCGACAATGTTTAGCATTTTAGCATTTCTTTTTCTTATTCGATATCTTCTTCGTCATAAAGATTACGTTTGGACTGCGAATGTGGCACAGTTTATTAAAAAGCGCCTGGAAATCTTACGATTTTTGCTACAAGTACTTTTTATGAATCCATACGCTCATCGGCGCTTAAAAACGAATGATACGATTGATTGTCAAAAGATGAAGTACGATAAACCGACAAATACACACTGAATTTGTCACTATTGTTTATGCATTTTGACAGATTTATTTATACCGAATACGGTAAAGTTTCAACAGTTGAAGGTGATAAAGCAAGTGCTGGAATGATTGCTGAATTAGCTGTCAATGTCGAAGAAACGTACGGTGTTGTAGCAACACGTCTCTGTCGAGCACTACATTCAAAAGGTTTGTTACAGAACGATTTACTGATCAATAGAATAATTCTGTATATTAGATTTAAGTCGCCATCGATTCCGGCATATTTGCTGTATTCCAGCATTTATTTTTGTTTCTATTCAAATTTCACTCGTTGTAGCCCTGAGCATTTTGGCTGTAATTAATGGTAGGCTTGATTAGAATACTCAATGTGTTTATCGAATGTTTATAGGAATACCGTCGAATAGACATTCGGTGAATGTCGCTTATATTTCCTTGACAAGTGTGCTTGGTGGTTCGATATTGCTGAGTTTTGCAACATGGGCACGATTGTTATTGGCATTGATGAAATCGCCCAAATCGAAAATTATGAAATTTTCGGACAATTCAACACGTTTGAACGATAATTCGATTTATCGACTGAAGAAAGAAGTTAACAGTTTTTATTCACGAGATTGATTACTACCTTGATATTTAGGTCAGTCAACTATCGTACATTATCAAATCTGTCGAAGCTTTTCTTGGAATTAACACGCGTTTGGTAGTACTTATCGATGGTTTAGATGTTTGTGAACAGCAACGTATTCTTCAAATACTTGATGTAAGTTTAGCAGGTTATGACTGTTAAACGAAAACTTGAATGATTTCTTTTAGCAAGTACATGTACTGCTAACAAAAGAAAATGATCCGTTCATAACGCTGATTGTTTGTGATCCACACAAAATGATGCAAGATCTATCTACAAATGCTGCAGCGACAGCAACGATCGCGCAGAATCAGGGTTTCGATACGAATGTCAATGGTCATGATTATCTACGGTCAATTATTCAATTACCAATTTATTTACAATTAAATCTAAGTAAAACAAAACAAATGAAGAAAAACGCCGATGGATTTCCCAAGAAGAGACAAAATGTTTGTGTCCTTGGTGATATTCTTTTCAAAATATGAACTTATATCGTTTTAGACACTGAATTATGGTGCATCAATTCTCGATGTTAGCAGCAAATCAGCCGCCACGACCACAGCATCAACAGCAAATAAATTACCAAAGAATAAACGTCGTCGACAGCGACGAGATACATTACCAAACAATAAACCTGTAAGTTTCTCCTATTTTCTCGTCTACGACTAACATTTTCTTGAATATCAGGTAACAACATCGGAGTTAACGAATCAATTGTTACAATCCGATTACTTTCTTGATATTAATCCACGCATTCTCCAACGATTGATCAATATCATCGGCATGACTGGTCGATTACTACGTGCTAATCAAATCCTATTCAGTTGGAAACGACTTGGATGTTGGTCATATTTAGTTGAACAGTGGCCGTATCGTATTACGTGGATCATCGTCTTTTACGAAGATCATGAACAGGAATATCCAGAAGATACCGTATTGAAAACGCTCTACGATAAGTAGGTCTTTTTATCATATGAATGTATAGAATTATATGCGCATTTTTAGAATCAAGCTATTTGTACCGACAGCAAATGATCCTCTTCTCGAACTCGATCGGAATGGGCGTAAATTTGAATTATGTCTAGAACGTGGTGAACCTGTTTTGAATGTCACTGACTTAAAGCAATTTCTTCCATGTACATGTAATCTGGATCCATATTTAAACAAACTTATTCGGGGTACGTACTTTTAGATGAAACTATTGCCATTGAAATTTATCTATTCAATAGATTCTGCTGCTTATTTTTATATGAATAATTCGGATGAAAACGGTTTTATCAATGGTGACCCGTCGAGATTTTTCCTTCGTCGTGACTCCACGTATGTATATTAGCTGTTAGAGAAATCATTCTACATTTTCATTCAGAGATTTCTATCAGTACCATTATAATAACGGGTAAAACTGAGAGTCAAAAATATCATCATTTTACCAATGCATGAACGGAATTTTTTTCTTATGTTTCACAAACTTTTCTTCCCAGATTTCATCGCACCCAAACACCATTACTATTCGTCTTTTCCTTCTAGTTTTTCTGGACGCAGTGGATTCTTTCCACAAGGAGCTGTGTCAAGACGTAAGAGTCTGTTACATCCAAGATTTAACAATAATGGACCTGACTTTCTTGGTATGATATGAGAATTTCATGGAAAATCGATTGAGTCAAATTTTTATTTTAGGAAATCAACATCGTCCATCGATCGATTTTCTCTCTCAACGTTTATTTTCTCAAGTTGCAATGAAGAAAACTGTTGACGACGAAGAAGAAAGTCATGTTCGAACATCTTCCATGTCATCAACATCAGCACCTGTAGTTGCACCTCCACCCTTGATCAATTCCAAAATTATTAGAAACACGGAAACTTCAGCAAATGTCAAAGTAAAACGATTTTACAAAGAATTTCTCCACTAAAAATTCTTCGTAGGTCGATCTATCCCCACCATTGAGTCAAATGTCTGTTAATGACGTGTGCGATTGTTTAAAAAATGACATCGTTGGCTTGAAAACATCTATGATATCGGCCTACATTCACGATTTCAACGAATACAATATCAGTGGACGAGTACTAGTTACATGTGTGCTTGATGAATTGAAACCAGTATGTAGAATGACTTGTCTGAATATATTTGCATGTGCACGTTGTTTTGTCTCAAGGTTCTTTCTATGACATTTGGTGATTGGGTTTTGTTCAGTAATTGGGTTGAAACTAAACGAGAAGAAGAACGGTAAAATTGATGTTTGACTTGCTGAATTATTTAAGCTTGTTTATTAGACGATCTCGATTTCAACGTCCACCTCAATCAACATCCAACGTCAATCAGAATAATCGTGCTACCGACGTACTGAATGATTATCAATTCTATACTGAAAATAGTGTGCTCGGTGCCGCACTCAATCGTCTGATGTCATCGACTACAGCCAACAATTCGATGGATGATGCACGTCCGACCGGTAGCGAAGGTGTATCAATCGTTTCAGCGCCAAAAAATGTGAAATTCCTCATCCCACTCGGCCGATCCGGTATCACATCGAATGAAAGTACCTTTGGAGTCGTCGAGTCAACAACACGAACGATTACTCATGTGAAAGACATATTTCCTTTGCAATCTCAGACATCAAATGCTGCAGATGAACCCTTCCAACCTGCGACACTTTCGTCGTCAACTTTCGAATCAGGTCGCCGTCAAGATGAAAACGACTTGAATAAGAATGATAATGAGCAACAATCGTTACTTCCCAATGACAATTGAAATTAAACGAAACGAACTTTCCAGATGATTAAATCAAAACATCTACAATGATCTTTTAATTCATTTTCTTTTATCGCTGCAGATCGAAATTTTTAACATAGTTCAGTATTTTTTAATTCTATTGATCCATTTCTTTTTCTTGCTCTGTATTTCACGACAGTCATAAGTTTTGTCAAATGATTCCGGTGAATTTTTAAAACGACACAATATCAATAAACGAATTTTATTTGATTCATAATACGATTTCCCCAGTAATCGAATGTACCTACATTTTCTGAACCCAAACAATCTTACATCGACGTCGAGCGACATCTATCATCAATTGTTTTTATTTTCTTTGATATACTCTTAGACTTTTTTCAAAGGTATTGACTAAGTTGACCATAATTGGTTAAAATTTTTCAAAATCTCGAATAATTCTTCATATTTGTTATTTTTCAACAATTCTCTGTTGCATTGGCAGATGACAAAGATGATGAGGAGATGATATGTGAGAGAAAAAGAGAGAGAGGAAGAACGAACGAGCGAGAAAAAAGAGAATAAATAAACAAGTGAGGACGGAAAAGAGAAGAGCTGTTGGTTAGTTCAATCCATAGGTTCATACAGCAAAAAAAACAGATGTTTAAAATCACATTTTTAGTATTGGGATTTTTCTGGAGGCGATTTAATAATGTTGATTTGTGTATTTCATCATTATTTTGTTTGTTTTTATTCAAGTTTTAGAAAAAAATCAATAAATTTTTAACATCAATAACACTTTTTCTCCCTAAAAAAATCAAAATTACCAAAGCAGCAAGCAATAAAATAGGATGAGCAATGAGTAAGCTCGCTTTTTTTTTCTCGACTTAGCTTTTCCATTTTCGTTGTTTCTTCATCTTCATTTAGTCAAGATACAAAATCGCCGCAACAACAATTACGCGGCAATTCCTTTGATAATTCAAGATTTCAGAACAATAATAACGAACAAGGTAACAATGAAAATACCTATGCTGGAGGATACAACCGTGGAGGAGCTCCCGAATCCCAACAACAACAACAGCCACAGTCTTCGTCACAACCCTATCGACCGCCTCATTTACAAAATCGAGTGAATTCATCAAAGTACAATTACTAATGATCAAGTATTTCTCGTTCACTTTTCATTTTATTTTTAGCGGTAATTATGTTAATAATAGCAATATGAATAATAGTGGCGGTTATCGAGCAGCAAATAATGCTGGTCCAGCACCTTCACAGCAAAATTACGGCAATAACTACGGAGGTAACAATACATATCATGGACCTTCTTCACAACAACCCTATTACGGTCAAACAGCACCACAACAGACTCAAATGTACCATCAAACTATGTCGAATACATATCAACAGATGGGCCAAATGCCACGTCCGATGAATCCACCACAAACACTTGATTCTCGAGGATATGGTCAGCCTCCTCAGCATCAACTACCCATGCAAAATCGATCGTAAGCTTGCTCGATCTATTCTTTGCGTGTTTTTTTTTTAAATTGACAATTTCATATTCAATTAGATTTAATGACATGTCACAAATGCAACAAACATACAATCGTCAAGGTCCGAGTAATAATATGAACCAGCAAGCGTCTCAGCAATCAGGTGGTGGTCGATGGGACGCTATCTTAGCTGAAAGACAAACGTCCAACAACAACAATAGTGGAAACAATTCGTATCAACGTGGTGGAAGTGGCTATTCCAACAATTACAATAATCGAAATGGTCGAGACAATAACAGTGGATACAGTGGACAACGTGATAATAACTATGGTCGTCGCGATCAAGATTCTCATAGACCGTATCATTCACATGTTGGTAGTCAATCGGGTGACACTATTGGAGCTGATTGGAATACTCCATTGCCACCAAATGCTAATCTTGAACGGTAATCACTTTGTTTTTTGCAAAGCAAACACGTTTATCACTATGATTTATAGGGAATTATTTGGTGTTCATCCAACTGGTATCAATTTTGAACTCTACTATGATATTCCTGTTGAATCATCACATATGGATCATCCACCAATCGATACAGTTTGTGTTCTTTCTTGATTATGATTTCATGTATTGTGTTTTCATATTTTTATAGTTTGACGATTGTGATTTTGGTGAAATCATCAAAAATAATGTTACTCTAGCTAATTACGGTAAACCAACACCAGTACAACGCTATGCTATACCAACTATTTTACTTCGACGTGATTTAATGGCCTGTGCCCAGACTGGTAAGTGAATGTATTTGATGAGTAGGGTGAATTATGCAACATTTTCGTTTGTGCCAAAATAGGTTCGGGCAAGACAGCAGCATTTCTTCTGCCTATCTTACACATGATCTTTTGTGAGGGTCCGGTGCGTAATCCTCCAAGTGCGAACCGAAATAACCGTAAGCAGTATCCACTCTGCCTTGTTATGGCACCAACACGTGAATTAGCTTCACAAATTTATGATGAAGCACGAAAGGTAGTCAGATTTGTGAGTAGAGAATCATACCTATGTTGATTTTTATAGTTTTCTTATCGATCAATGGTTCGTTCATGTGTGGTTTACGGTGGAGCTGATATTGGCTTTCAAACACGAGATTTAGAAAAAGGTACTCATGTTTTAGTGGCTACGCCGGGTCGTCTGAACGATTTGATACAACGTGGTCGTGTTGGATTAGCTAATGTTCGGTATGATGAAATGGATTTTCTTTCTAGTTACTCATTTTTCTGTTAAAATTTATAGATACTTAGTTTTGGACGAAGCTGATCGTATGGTGAGCAATCTTTTCATATGTAGTTTATCTGTCAAATTAAATTTTAATTTTTTTCTATTGGTTTTCAGCTTGATATGGGTTTTGAGGTAAGACTGAAAGCGTTGTACTATGCAAACATAAGACATGTGATTGTTTTAGCCTCAAATTCGTGAGATTGTCGAACGATCAGATATGCCGCCCACAGGTCAACGAATAACATTGATGTTTTCAGCTACATTTCCGAAACAGATTCAGGTTCGAATCAATTTGCTTTATTGAAAACTGACATTCAACTTTGATAAATTAGGAATTAGCACGTGATTTCCTTCATGACTACGTCTTTTTGGCGATTGGCCGTGTTGGTTCAACATCGCAAAACATCACACAAAAAATTGTTTGGGTAGAAGAAGCAGAAAAACGCTCGTTTCTACTCGACTTACTAAATATTCAATCTGGTATGAGAGACAGACTAGCGTCCTGAAAATAGCTGCATTTCTACTTACTATTATTTGTTTAGATACGTTAACACTCGTCTTTGTCGAAACGAAACGAGGGGCTGATATGCTGGAAGAGTTCCTAGGTAATCATCAGTATTCCGTGAACAGTATTCACGGTGATCGATCACAAGCTCAACGTGAAGAAGCATTGAAATCATTCAAAAATGGTCGTACACCTATTCTTGTCGCGACAAGTGTCGCTGCTCGTGGTTTAGATATTCCGTAAGTAGTTCTTTCTTTCCAATCGATCATCTCATTACATTGTAAATTTAGGAATGTCAAACATGTTATCAACTTCGACTTACCAACTGATATCGATGAATATGTCCATCGTATTGGTCGCACAGGCCGTGCTGGTATGGCCGGTAAGAGATACACGAAATAGTTTTATAAGGAATCGTTGTCTACGGTATCTGCTTTAGGTCAAGCAACATCTTTCTTCAATGAGAAAAATCGCAACATTGCGATGGAACTTCTCGATATCTTAGCTGAAGCTCATCAAGAAGTACCCGAATGGCTCGAAGGTTTGGCGAGAGAGACGAAAAGGGATAATTATTCGAAACGAAACTACGGTGGTAATCGACGGTATGTTGCTAGTAACAAGAACCTTCTAGAGAGATAGATTTTACTTTATCTAGACCTGGCGGTTTCGGTGCACGTGATTATCGTACGCCGGCTCAAATACGTGGCGGTCGAGCCGGAGGCAATAGTCGCGCTGGTAGTTCCACAGGTGGCTATAATAATCATCAGCAACAATGGGATGGATCTAACGGTGGTGCCGGTGGAAACGTATGGAGCGGTGATCATCAAGCAGGCAATGCTGGTGTCTACGATCGTTATCAACAACAAACTGCTAGTGGTAATGGAAATCGACAGGCAGATCAAAGTTGGTGGGACAATACGTCATGAAAAGTAACGTTAACTTCATAATCAACATCCTTCCTAATGACGCGCAATCTCATTCATCAACAATCATATGTTACACACATGATACCTTTTTCTCTCTCTCTTCTTTTTTTTGACAAAACAAACTGTTTTTTTTCGCTCTTTGTTTGATTGTTCAATGTTATGTTCGTTTCATTTCACATGCATACACCTAAACGGACCGGCGCTGACTCGCTATTTTTCTTCTCTATCTCTCTCGCTCTCTTTTTCTTTTCTTGGCGACGGCGATGGCCTACCGGTCTTCTATCGATTTTAAACTTAATTTTTTTTGTTTATTTCAATGTTTCTCTCGTTCTATCACTGTCTCTCTCGCTCTTTTTCCTCCTCCGTATATTTTCTCTTCCTCATCATACAGTGTGTGTGTGTGTGTGTTTATTTAAAACGATGACGCTCATCTTTTTTTCGAAATTGTACGTTTGGAAAACGATAATTTCGAAAGAGAGTGTCGTCCTTATATCTATGAAGACGCTTCTAAGGCGTCATTTGAGAAGTTTGGATGTTAAAATTATACGAAACGAAATGAATGAGATAAAAAAAAAGAATAGGAAACTTACAAAAAGAACAAACTCTTCTAAGTTAATACAACGACGTACTTAACAAGATAGGTTCATTCACTGTTTTTCAATAAAGTTAAGCAAAACTGTCCATTCAATCAAAATCAGCGTGTAGAAATTCACAAGGAACAGATCTGCACTACCGCTCACACATGCCAATGATGCTTTCTTCCCTTCGTTACAGCGGCTCAAGCTGAATTAACGATAAGTATTGATTCATTGGTTTTACATGAATCATAACTTTTCTTTTGTGATTTGGGGTCAGAGATAAAATTTGTCTTTTATTTTTGAGAAAAAATAATCTATCGGATTGGCTATTTCTTGTCGCCATTATCATCTGCTTGCTTAAGTCAGCTGCACTTTGGATAGAAGAAGGTCTCTTGAGACGAAGGGAATATGAGATAAGAGATAACAGTGCTTTCTGTTTTGAATATTTTATTTTTCATTTCGCATAACTATCCACTTGATTCAACATGGTGTCATCATCGATACTTGTCAGTACAATTCTTCTCGTTTTCTTCTCTACAACGATACTCTGCTCTGAGCAACGTAATGTCACAGCGTTATTGCACGATTGTTATGAAAAACAAATTCAAATGGAATTTTTCGCTTCAAATGTCTACTTAACATTTGCTCATCGATTGGCCTACGATGGTGTTTATCACGGGTTCGCCGATTTCTTTTTCGAATCAGCTGAAGAAGAAAGAGAACACGGAAAGAAGTTCTTAGATTTTCACAACGTGCGCAATCACGTGTCACATCTTAGAGACATTACAATTAGTGAGGAGTTATCAAGTATTATCACTGTCAATGAAATGTTACGAAAAGCGAAAACATTGGAAGACGATGTGTTTAGTAACATGCGCACGCTACATGGATACGCAGTCGAAGCTGGACATTCGGAAACTGTACATTTCATCGAAAAAGTGACGCTCGAAGAGCAAACAATAGCAGTCAAACAAATGCATGACTTAGTCAAACGTCTCGATCATAATAACAATTCGACAATTTTGTTGCAAATGATGGATCAAGATTTACGCAAGAAAAAAGTGAAACAACCCTAAGAGAGTTTTACGCGTATTTCTTTTCTTTTATTGTCTTCGCTATTCTTTACCACTGTCAGTAATAAAATCTTGCTTAACAAAGAAGAAAAGAAAAGAGATTTCATCGACGATACTCCTAATTACAAGTGTTAATCTAAACGAAAAGACACTATATGAATAGAATCAAGATGGTCAAATACTGTTTTGTTAACTATTGTTGGAAGTTGCAAGAGATAAGAATAGGGACATCATCGAGTAGGAAGCAAACGTCTGTAACGATGGAATACTTTCATCTGTTACTGGTAGAGATACTGTTGCCGATATGATAATAATTCAGTTAGGCAGACTTCGATAATTGATGATAGAAAGTATTTTGGGCGATTGAGTAGAATTATACGCACTTGAAAAGAAAGGTACGTGCAACGATACTTCACGCACAATTCAACTTCTTTCTAGTGTAATCATGTCGGATAATTACGCGTTATTTATTATTATGATCCCCAATGATTCTGATGCGGACATTCCGATTGCTACAACAAAAGATACACTCAGTATAGCTAAATCTCAACCACGACGAGTGAGTATTATGTGCAATACTAATGTATGGACGTTTTCTTTTTCGATGGTAAGGTGTCTATTGATACAATTGCAGCATTGGTGTGTCCAACTGCCTTACCATTGACTGCTCAATCTTCAGTTGCTTCGTTAATGAAACGTCGAAGTGAACATGATATACCCTTAAATGTCCAGCCGATATTATCAACATCGATATGGCCATTATTGAAGAATTATCTTTCTGAAAGAAGTGATATCGATGCAGTATGGTTACTTTCCGATGATAAGAAAACTTTTCAGATCACATTCTATGTTGAATTCGGCTTTGTTAGCGATCGTATGTTACAAGATTTAGCTAAACTAGGTATCGGAACACGTTCTGGGACAAAAGTCTTTGTTCTTCCGACGACTGTGGTCTTCAAAGGACATGATGACAATGAGAAAAATGATTCCACTCCAGTATCGTTACATTCGAACGAAGATAGCACTCATGTATTGAATGATACTAATCCTATGTCATCAAAAGCTAATAAGCGTCTTCATGAATCGAATTTTAAGAAGAGCGTTCGTGCTCGACTTATGGTTCATCAAGTTGTTGCGAGTATTCGTGCTTCGTCAGCATTGACATTCGATTTCCTCCTTCTTATTTGTCTTGCTTCGATGCTAGCAGCATTCGGTTTATTGGAAAATTCATCTGTTATCATTGTTGCTAGTATGCTTGTTAGTCCTTTAATGAATCCAATCTTAGGAATTGTCTTTGGTCTATCCGTTCGGGATAATTCGTTATGGCGAAGTGGTCTTCGGAGTGAAATCATTGGATTGATCGTTTGTATCACTTGTGGATTTCTACTTGGGTAGTGAAGACACGAGAGGAAAGTTTCGAAAAGAGAGAACTTATGTGTTTTGATTCTAGACTGCTGACGACGGTTTTTGAAACAAGATGGGGAAGTTCAACAAGTTTTCCAACGTCAGAAATGAAATCACGTGGAGATGGAAAGCACTTATGGGTCGGTGTTCTTATCGCTTTACCGAGTGGAGCTGGTGTTGCCCTTTCCGTTCTTGGCGGAAATACTGGTAAAAACAGTATTATCTATCTGATTAGTAATCTTGTTTCTTCTTCCAATTAGGTTCACTTGTCGGTGTAGCCATTTCAGGTTAATACAACTTGTTCGTACGCTCCTCTATTTCCATCGAATTTATCTTCTAGCTTCCCTTCTTCCCCCAGCGGTTAATTGTGGACTCCTTTTTGCTTATTCCTTACTTGGTAACATATTCTCATCCATACTGGCTGTCCAATCTCCATCTGTGAATCTTACAAATCCATATTCATCGTCATCGTTGAACTGTTCTGCATACATTCACAATGATTATCGACCACTTTACACATGCAATCTTGCTCTGGAAGCTGCGATTCTAGCTGGTTGTAGTTTATTGTTAACTTTGGTTAATATCGTATGTATCGTGGTAATGGCATTGATCATTTTACGTATCAAAGAAGTTGTTCCTTTGCATCAAACTAATCAAGATATCGCTGACTTCTTTCACTATGATGTTCCTGTTGCACGTGATTATAATAAAACGATTCATGAAGGCGACTTTAATCACTCGAATCGTCTTGCGCGAACAATTGTTGATCGTTGGAGATCATTGAAATCTTCCACATCGCCACATCATCATGCGGAATCAACTTTGACCAGTCCCGACTTAGAATCACCCGACCATGTCAAGAATCTTGATCCTAATGATGCAGAATCACGACGAATATTATTTTCCTTACAAAAATTTGCTAAAGAATACGATCTCGATGTATTCAACATGAACGATTATGAACTTCTCACTAGCAGCAGTAGAGACAAACTTCAACGTCTTATCAACGATCTGATCGATATGTGTCAAGAAATACCTCCAGTATTTATTGGACTGAACAATCTTCAGTCGTTTGGTGCTGGCACATCATCAACAGATAAGGAACATCTGTCTTTCTATCAAGAAATTATTGAACATTTACCACCGAAATGGCATCAAATGTATGTCTACGAACGACAACGACGTTTAGTGAAAGTCTGGCCATTGCTTTTTGATCAATCCTATTCTAAACATTCACGAGCCGTGGAAACATATGCACGTTCACTATCAGGTGGACTCCACCGTGAATCCTTAAAAGAGCAAAATCCAAAAGTCTCGTCTCGTTTCACTCGGCTACATTCGGAGCCAGAATCAAACAATTCTTCACAAAAACACCCTCAAAATATCGAAAAACCTGTTGCAGGAACGCGCTTTCGTATTTCAAAACCATCGATCGTCACTCAAATGCATGGAAATGAATCCAAACTTATCTGACACGGCATTTTCTCTGTAAAACTTCAATAAAAGACCTGATCTCTACCGACCTCTATCATATCTATCATGATTTGTTAAATACATCTACCAATTTATCTCGATAATTGACAATCTACTATTTGAATATGTGAAAGTCTATTGCATTTATAGATAAAAAAAAAACTTTCATGTCATCAACATCAGCACGTATGAGATCAACAACTCTAGACCGATCCTTGCAGAAAACGAAAGGCGATGTACATTCTTCATAGACCGTCGTCAGACAAATATGAATAACGTTTGTGTATTTTTGTTTGTTTAGGTTAATTTGAGCACATTCGCTTTACTCTTCTCTGAAATGGTTCAATACTCACACAATCGTGCGGATAGTATCCAAGATCTACAGAATAAGTAAGACTTTTGACTGGCGAGCTAAGATCGTTATCTAGAAGAAATAGGCTGGCCGATTTTGGAAAACATGTTGGTGTACGTATACTTGATTTATTCTTTTTACGTAATGGAAAAGATAAACGAGAAGTACGTCTTACTCCTATGCTTGTATTTATTCAAAAAACATTTTGGAAAGTAAGAGATCATCTGAATGATAAAATTAAATAGAGAATTGCTTTTTATAAAATAGTTTTTATTCAATCGTGAAGCTGATCATCTTGAACAACATGCACAAGAAGCGAAAATTTGTATATAAACTTTCGTATTTTCTTCTAGAATTCTTATTTGTCTTTATTGAAGATTACATCATCGAACGCGAATGTTTAGTTAACAAATTTATCTCTGTTCCAAAAGACAAAGGTACTTTAAATTGCGCATCATTTGTTGCTGGAATTGTCGAAGGTATTCTGTGTACAAGTGGCTTTGTATGTACTTCATTCAATGAAATTTTTCTCGAAAACTATATTCGATTTTAGACATGTAAAGTTCATGCACTTCAAGGCCCACGTGGTACAACCTATGTCATCGATTTTGCTCAATCAGTCATGGATCGCGAAAGTCGATTAGATGCCAAGTAAAGTGTGCATGTGTGTGTATTTTGGAACGATACATGTTCTTCATTCCGATGATGTTTAAATAAATTTCAACTTCCTTTTATGCGTGTATGTGTGTGTGTGTATTCGTAATTAAAATGATTCTCGTCGCATATGAATGTTGATAAATATAGAGTTAAACTTGATCAGAACAATAGTGAACTGTATCTTCTCCTACTTGAAAATCTGAAATAAGCATTGTTGTCATAATTATCGTGAGGATCAATCAATTGAACATTTCATTATTCAAGTGTACTTTTGCATGTACAAGATATGAACGAAATTCCTTTAGAAATTGTGTAAATGGTAAAAGAATACGAGTCGATGTACACTCCTTCACTTTTGTTTTCAATGTCAAGTATCTGTCAAAGTTGAAAGTGTATCTTCAATATTGTTTCGTTGTGTAAAATAGAGCATTCTTCTTTTTTCTCTGTTTGAAATAATATTTTTCATACGACACTGGGGATTGATGAATAAAAATTCTCTGATGAGAAAAAGGAAATATTCGTTTCGATTAATCCAAATCAGATTTGTCACATCAAAGACATTGAATTCTGTTGACCGGTGTTCGCGCGTGCATATGTCGATGTTCATTTGCGTATTTGGACAATTAAGAAAAGTTAAGACAGATAGTCAAATAAAGACGAAGTCCATCCTCGCCGCACACGCAAACTCAACATTCACACTTTGAAGGGAAAACATTCGAATATGAAAACAAATGCCGACAAGAATACAAACGAGCGATAATAGACAGGCAAACATCTATCTCTATGGATGACTGATCAACGTCAAGTGGATTTACATGCCATTTTCTAACGTGCGAAAAGAAAATTCTCAATGAATAAAAACAAAAAAGGAAAGAAATATGCATAATCAATTGAGTAGACCGCTATATACTTTGGTGTGATGTGGGAGAGTGCAGTGTGTGCATAATCGAATAGCAATAATCATAGGTTCACTTGTTGTGTGATCTGTCGTCTGTGTCCACTATCAATCATCGTGCGTTGCTTTTGTTCATCTCGATTACAATCAATAGATGTGAAGGTTAAGTGCTTGAACTCACCTTCTCGCTTGCTTGATTGTCTTTTTCTTTTCTCGTCCTCTGATGAGATCATCAAACTGCGACAATGCATACCTGAGCGATAAATTTTCTTAATCATATATCAGAATTCAATATAGATCTACGTCATCATGAGAACAAAAAGACTCACTCGCGCTGGTCGATTTTCTCTTTTCAATTATGATTAGACTTTGAACACGATATGGTTTATCGATGCACAACAAACGGTGATTTAAGAGAGTGTGAGAAATGAAAATTGAAGAGGATCAAAGTATGTGTAAAACGATCAGCGAATGCAAAAGAAACTTGTGACGAGTTGAAAAAGTGTTAAATTCCATTAAGTCAAAGTGTGTGTGAAAAACGATCAGCAACAACGATGATGATGATCAACTTAAGTGAGAGATGTTGCTTTTGCCTTAATTAGTTAAAGTCAGTAGGTATCAATGGTACTTGATTCTGTAGTCAAGAACTCTTGAGAGAGAGAAAAAAAACAAGCGAAGGAAGATGCTTGTATTTGTTTAATAGAATGCATTCTTCGGAATGTTCTATTGATCCGGAACATGTAGTTCGTACAACTGGAATTACTTGTATTGGTCTGGGTATGTATGTGGAACAAATGAATGATGAACATTCCAACAAAAAAAAAACAAATATGCCGCTTGCCATCGTTTCTTTCTTCTTCGTTTTTTAAGCATACAGATGGAAATTGAACAAACGAAGTATGTTAAGCAAAAAAAAGAAGATTGATAGCTTGAACGAACTCTCTTGAGAGTACAAACGGCGCCGAACGATGGCAAGAAAAAAGACAAAAGTTTCCATTTTCCAGTACGATTTGAAAAACAATGGATGTTTACCATGTTTGTCAGCAGAAGAAGAGAATTTCTTTCTCATCTCATGTATATCATCTTTTTACTCGACTTGATTGATAGGCAAAGGAAAACTTTCGCGTTATTGCTCTACGTTCTTCGTTCTCGTTTCTATTCATAGCGAATCAATTGTTCTTTCGACGCGATAATAATAAAAATCTATTCGAAGTCGAGTGATCTTTTTATCCAATACCTCGATGTTCTTGTCTCTTCATTTCTTTTTTTTTTCATGTGTCACACATCACATCGTCATCTACCAATCAATCTTCATCTGAATTTTGATTGGATGTGACAATACTTTGCTCCTGCCGATGGCAACGTCAATGCCGTTTTGTTCTCCACCCTTTTCCGTCCAAGTGCTTGTTCATTTCTTCAGAAACTTTATGCACTCGACTACCAATGTGTGCCGAGGCGTTAATAATCATCTTTTGTTAACATTTTTTACATAAGAAATCTTTTTTATAGCAGACAGAAATGACAAAAAATTTCTAGCACGACATGATGATGAATGGAAATTATTTTCTTTTCTATTTCTGCCTATGCGACACACTGGCTGCAGTTCTTTTTATCTCGCCCAATCTTAAACCTGCAAACGTTTTCTTTCCATCTCCCTCCCTCTCTCTCTCTTTCTGTCTTTGCCTTTTCCGATGTTTCGTTGTCGACAATACCCGCCTACACTCGCCTTTTTGCTTGTTCTCCATACGCGCATACGCACGCATCTAATCGCCTACCAGCAGACAAGCTAAAGAAGAAAATCCTCTTTTTTTTCTCTCTCTCTCTTTACCCAAAGAGGAAAAAATAGGGAGAAGGAGAGAAAGAGTAACTCGATTGCTGAATGGTCGAGAGTAACCGTTCACATTAAGAGTAATTACAAGTGTTCGCTTGTTTCGCCGTCAGTTTTCTCTCTTTCTGTAAAGAACAGCCTCTGTTTTTCTCTCGTTTTTTTTCTTTCTCCCTCCTACAGAGAAAAGAGAGAGAAAGAGAGAAAGTGCGAAAAGGTGAGACGTTTGCGCTTGCGGATAAAGATTGACATCCAGAAATCTATCAAATCACACACATCGATCACGTCACATAGTCCTATTAAATTCGACAGATATAAAGCGTATCCATTACACGCTACGATTCGACAACTGAGACGTAAATAGACACGAGTCAAAACAGACTTTTCTAGATAGATAGATAGAAAGAAGAAAAAAAAGAAGAACAAGAAGAAAAGAAAACGAAGAAAACAACTGCGTTGTCTTGTTTAATGAATGATGATCCTCATCTATTCATCCATCTATCTTTAGCTGTCTTCGTTTAACCGACAAGTAAATTAGTCATGTCGTCTTGAACACGTCGATTTCGATAGATCAATGGCTGCTCAGAGGGTAATTTGTGTGATGTCAATTTTGACATTCGATCATTTATGAGATTTATTTATTTATTTATTTTTTCATATATTTAGTTACTCACAGATACAAACGGACCGTATTACGGTAGTGGTAACGGAAATTTCCCGACAACAAACGGTCCCGATGGCTCGGCCAACCTTTATCCTTCTTCGTTCAGTAATGAAACATCTCCACCATCAGTACCCGTTCCTCACCATTTATCCAATGTTCTCGGACCTGCGACTGATTCGTCAGCGACAACTAATCATGCGAACAGTGTCAATGCCGATAATCAACTTAAGCAACAGAAAGATATGATATACAGGTAGATAGAAATAGAGAGCACGAATGAAAATATATCGCTTTCGATTACTCATCATCGTTGACAAAGAAAGCAAAACAAATGTAGCTCGCATTTTTTTTCTTCTGTCAGTGATTGATCTTCTTCTATACATATGTCTATGCATGAGTCAATGCCAAATGATTATCAGTTAGATTTTTCAAAACAACGAAAGTAGTGCAGTAGTTTCGTTGATTAATACGTAGAGATCTCCTTCTTTAGCTGATTACTGTCATCTTGTTAATTGTTAGAGAAGATGAACAGCTTTTGTTTTGTTTCTCCATTGATGATAATGATGAGAAAGTCGTTGAGGCAAATCACCTTCAAGCAAATATACGTATGTGTATATATTGTACATTTAGTTTCAATGCAGTCTCTTTTTACATACATATACACACAGCTGTAATTTCGAAACCGATCATTATCTTCACGCTTCATATGCTTTTCTCTTCATATTCTGACTTTTCTTTCCGTGCAATGTGCATATCCACGCTTGACAGTACATTCAAAAAACGTTGCTAAAAAACAATACAGGAAAATTCTAACTACTCAATAAGCTCTGGTCATATGCGCCTGCGTTTCTTTATTAATCATCTTGTTCGCTTCGGCTGGTTTAGTTTTCTAATCACTCGGTTGGTTGCTATCTCCTCAATGATGATGTCGTTGGTGTTGTTGTTGTTTCTACGAGTGATCATAGTAGATGGCCTTTGTGTGTGCGTTAGTGCATACCACTGACTAACTAATATTCTTTCGATAGGCAAATTGAGTCTGGAAAGACGACGAAGAAGAAAAAAGATAAGAACTTCCATACAATCGAGATCTTTTTCACTGCTTATTTCTACTCTCATCATCTCATTGGGCATTCTTAGCCTTTTTTTCTCTTTCCTTACACAGTTACACTATGTATATATTTGCTTGTGCTTTTTTTTCATCGAGTTCTCGCATGCATATGACAGTGATTGATGATCATTACGCCTGCTGCTCTGAAATCACAGGCATTGTAGTTATTACGATTATGACCTCATCGACATCAGTTTCTTTTTTTGACTACTACCAATCCGAATGAAATGTAAATCGATCTGATCGTAATCGAAACATAAAAGTATAAAAAATTCTCCCCCTCTCTCTCTCTGTAATTTTCACACAAATGTACATAAGAATTGCTTCGAGCAAGCGACGAAAAAAGAACAAAAGAGCAGATAGATCAATTTCTTGATGTTTGATCGTAATTATAGTACAAACTAAACGGGAAGAAAAAGAGATACGAGCAAGCGCTTTCATGTATGTTTATTTTCATTTTCCTTTTCTTTTTTATAGCCATCCATTGTTTCCATTGTTGGCGTTAATTTTCGAAAAATGTGAATTAGCAACTTGCACACCAAGAGATCTTGGTGGATCGGGCGATGTATGTTCATCCGAATCATTTAATGATGATGTGGCAGAATTCACCAAACAGGTAATGCAACTCAACCTTCTTATCGTTGTTGAAGAGAATGCAATTGAAGTGCATATGTATATACAGTTTGCAACATTGAGCTACTGCGCACGCGCGCCCATGAGTATAATGTATGTTATCAGAAGATGACCAGTCGATAAGCCACTTGAACAAGAAAATAAATGAAAAGTCAATAAGAGATCATATATGTGGATGTATAGGCGTATACATATGGAGGCAAGTTGACGATTATGACCTCCTCACACGCCTGTCAGTTTGATACTTGAACGAACAAACGACGATAAGATCTTTAAGGAAGAGAGAGAGAGAGAAAAGAACGAGAAATTATTTACGTGCGTTCACGTCATAGATTTGCAGATGTTACCAATTGGATTTTCTTGATAATTTTGAAGAATTTTTAGGGAGTAGAAGGAATGTCATGCTGAGTTTGAACAATATTGTTCAATGTCTTTAAGTGACACCAAGTAGAGGTGTGTGTACGTATGCCAGTAATCGAAGTAGTGGCACTTATGTCAAATGAATATTTCATCAGTTGATTTGATGAAATGAAAATGCGATTAAGTCCTCTCAAAGACATTCATTGTCGAGATACAAATGTGCTTATAAGCACGTGTTAGTTGTTGATCTGATCTTAGTCAAGATAAAGAAATGCTCACATCATCCCAAGAGCAAATCAGATCAGCATCATTGTCTTATCAAAAGCAGCAAATGAAAGAATCGAACAAGCTAACATGTTGTATTATTCAATGGTGTAAATGGGAGAAAAAGCTTGAGGGTATCATTAAAATGTCATTAGCATTTTTATTCCGAGTAAAGATGCGAAAGTCAGAAGAAAAAACTTCATTCTCTTCGCGATTCACGCAAATCGAAACGAGCTGCCAGATTTTCTTTATTCTTGCGCATCGTTCGTATAGCGATGTGCGGAAATGCTTTGTTTGCGGAAGCACCTGCCTCTACTTCGCTGCTCGTCTCGTCTTAATGATCGATCGAACAAGAAAGAAATGCGTCTGCTGTTCAATAGATTTCCGTTCTAAAATCTTTTCCTTTGTGTTATTTTAGCTTCAAAAAGATCCGAATTACATTTCCACCAATCCCGAGTTGGATAATGTGGTACGTATGAACGCATAAATCAATGCTGATGAATCAATTACTTATCTTCTCTCACGTTTAGATGATACAATCGATTCAAGTCCTACGATTTCATCTATTGGAATTAGAAAAAGTACGGTATCTTGAAAGTAGTTCAGAGATAGACGAGGGAAAAGCTCCATATCATTATTCGTCAGGGATCAACACGACATACTAATCATAAACTGTTTTTTTCTGTCGACACTTGCCAAGAATAAGAAGATTTATCTTGATCGACAAGCAGTCGTTTGTGTTTATTTCTTTCCTTCTCTTGCTTGTTCGCATTTTCTGAGAAAATCTATCCAAGACATCTTTCCACTCACTGACCGATTTATCAGACAGATAAGAAAGTATACACTTACTTCTAATATCAATCAAAAGCAAATTAACAAGAAGTCAAGTACAAAGTCATTAGCGCAGAAGAGAAGAAGAAGTAGAAGAAGAAGATCTATCTTTTCTTGTTTTTCTAGGTTCACGAATTGTGCGATAACTTTACTCATCGTTATATTACTTGTTTGAAAGGCAAATTACCAATGGATTTAGTTATTGACGAACGTGATTCAAATGTATCATCATCGAAATCAGGCGATGACGATGATCAAGATGATGATCAGTCGAGTCCACAACCACCACACGGACATCCTCCACATCCTCCAACGAGTTCATCACGTTCATCATCTTATAATCAACACAGTCCAGATGGGTCAACAACACCATCGAACTACAATCTTCCTCACCAACCAAAATCTGTAAGTTATGTTCGAAACATTATCCGATATTGTGAACGATCGTAACACCTGTTCCCTATATATTCCTATCAATTAAATGAACATATGTAAACAAACTAGTTTTGATTCTTTAGCTTCGATCATCGATGACAACAGCTTCACAATTGACACCTCTTGTTTCATCGCATCACTTCGGTCATCCATCTCATCATCATCACCACCATCATCATCAGCCACCACTTCCACCACCGTCACATTTTCAACAACAATTGCCTCCGCCACCTTCCGCACATCCATCTTATTCCAATCATCTTCTTGGTCCTCCCCATCCATCACTTTTGAATCATTTATCACAACCACCACAACATTTTCATCCTCAATCAGCTCATCATTCAATGCATAATGATGACACTCAATCGACACATTCTTCGTCAGATACCAACACTCCGAACGCAAGTCAACCATCAATGACTAATCTGAACAATCCAACAAATAGTTATCATCTCATTCATGATAACAACAGTGAAACGGGTATGTTTTTTTTCATTTCATTTCCAGTGCGAATAGAATTAGCTATCGACGTTTCCTTATTATTAATATTGTCTGCAGCACATACATACACACACACGCAAGGGATCAACTAATCTCCAAATTGCCCATTCGGTACATGATTGTTTTTTTCCTACTTGTAATTGCGAATAAAAACATTATCAATCTGTCTACATGTTCCCGAAACACATTCATTTTCCGCGGAGAATGATGATGATGATGTTCACATGTCTTTCTACGACTGTTTTGTTTTCCCTTATCGTTTTGCCAGAAAGAAACTTAATTGAAATTGTTTTTCTTTTGTTTCTCATCTAAAACATTCGAACAGTTGTGCGTCTTCGTTTTTCACTTTTACTACTCGTCTCATCTTACGTTTCATCGAAATTAATTCAACACATCTGTGTACTAGACTGCACGGGAAAGAAATCATCTCTGATTTCACACTCTATTAAAAATGAACGTTTTCATATATCGGTCATTTTGCTTTTCTTCAAATCTATCTATATATGCTAATTATATTCGAATGCTCTCTTGCCGATTTGAACCCTAATGCGATTTCACAAATCGACTGTCAAGACGCATTACGACGTCCGACTAGTAGTCCTGTCAATCAATCATAATTGGCCGTAGAAGGGAGTGAGCAAAGTAAAAGAAAAAATGAATACTCTTTAAACATATTAAGTTTCACCTTTCATTGTGCCTTAAAGCGATTAAATGCATTCATTTCAATTTCTAGGCGACAATTTCGATAACAGTGTTGGTTCAGGTGGTGATAATACAGGCGGAGAAGATGATTTGGATGATAATGCAAAAAAGCGTCAAAAGAAGCGCGGTATTTTTCCAAAAGTTGCCACAAATATCATGCGAGCATGGCTATTTCAACATTTAACGGTAGAATTTTCTTAAGATGTACGAAATCATTCATTAAGATAATTACTTTTCTTTCCAGCATCCATATCCGTCCGAAGAACAAAAGAAACAACTAGCTCAAGATACTGGATTAACAATTTTACAAGGTAAAACTTCGCATTTCATTGATTAATTTTCTATTTCTAATCTTGTCTTTTTTTTTTCTTTCTTCATTTTTAGTTAATAACTGGTAAGTCATATATTTCATCATCATCACCGTCGTTTTTGCGCGAGCGTGTTGCCATTGGTCAGAATATTCTCTGTGTATTTTGTCCAATTAAAACTCCTGAAAAACAAGCCGTATGTTTACTCATCATTGAAGACTTGTTGCCATTTGACGGCGTTTTTCCCCTTCAACAGTTTGTTATTACTACATGTCGGCAATAATGAGGATCAAACTTTGCTTTTCGCCTCTATATATATACACACATATACATAAATATATCTGTCCGACGACTAATCAACGCATAAAGCAATCGTACGGTCAATTAGCAAAGTAAACAATGCGTTGACTGATACTTCGAGGTAATCTAGCGTGCGAGTAGCAAATTAAACAAAATGACAAAGATCTTCGAGTGTTATACACATTCTCACATGTAGCAATTGAGCTGTCAAAAAGGCATTTTCGTGAGAAAATGCGATTAGAATAGATGCGTTGAGCGGTATGATTTGTCGCCTCCTTGCGTTTGATGCTACATATACGAACCAGCTGACGATATGCTTGTAGCGGCAAGGCATTATCGTGATGATCATCATTATACGCATGCACGCGACTTTTTCATTATCATGTTCTAATAAAAAAAAGAAGCGAGACGAGAGAGAGATCAAACAGAAAAGAAGAAATGACAGAAACGATTGCGCCAATGTTGATGTTGATGATGATAATGCGTGCAACAGCCGTTCAAAAGAGATGATAGGTCACGTTTTCACCATCTTTCTCTTAGCTCTTGTTGTGCGCGAGGAAAGAGATCTTCTCCGAATGATATCATTCGTGTGAAAGGTTCAAGAAAAACATCTGGCCGGATGTATTCTTGTTGAAAACGATCGCTCGTTTGTAACGATCATTAAAATCACATTAGACGAACAAGGAGGAGAATCGAAACGATTGCATTAGCAATCCTCGTGTTTGTATAAACATATCCCAAAAGGATACGATCGTTACCGTATCTATCTTTTTTTGCTTTACATACACGATGGACATCATTTATCATTTTCTGCCTCGTCTTACGAGCCTCCTACTGCTTGTATAGATATGATAATATTGTAAACAAATCTGTCTATCTTCTCCTGTTGACAGATTTTGCGAGGTCATATATGAAATAGAACTTGTTCTTATCGAAAAAAGTCTTATCATCAAAAAAGGTCAAATCAACTTGACTAATCTAATTTATTAACTATAAATTAGATTGAAAATGTTCAATAGCTGACAGGAATATTTTGATTAAACGATGTTTATCATAAATCAACGAAGAAAAAAAAAAGAAAACTTTGTAAATGTATCGGAAAAACATCAGAGGAAAGCAGTATACACTCTACAGATGATAATTAACCTCTCTAGTATCTGCTGGTGGCTTTCCTATAGTAAAATAAACACGTTCAATTGACTTGAAAGGCATGCGCACCATGAATGTATATGTATAATAAGCCACTTTTATCCTTCAAGTAAAAGAAATCTCATGCTGACTTGTTTTTTTAATGTATATTTAGGTTTATCAATGCCAGACGTCGAATTGTTCAACCAATGATTGATCAATCCAATCGTGCTGGTAAGTTAAATGTGAATGGCAGCGAAGATCTACGTGGATCAAATCTGACCTATGTACCGAAATTGGTCTGCATGCCTCCTCCACCTTCACCTCATTCGACTATAACCAAACGACGTGTAAATACAAAACGAAATCGAGAATTAGCACAGGATCCAAGAAAGGTTCACTGTCGACCAAGTTTGACTCGAACGCCAATTGATGCCCAGCCTCCAGTCCTTTCCTATCGAACGAAAGGCAAGATTTATTTAGAAAAGGCTCCTTTACCGAACATCTAACATGGTTGTCCTTTCTAATGCTTTCCTCCTAATCGGCTCTATACACATACATATATACATGCTTGTTTCTGAACAAAGGTTTTCTCATAATCTCCATTTTCTCTTTCCAGCCCATGCTCAAAAAGGTACAACGATTGACTTTTTTTGCTACTTCTATATTCATGTGTACATATGTATATATGTATGTGTGTGTGTGCGCGCATCTTGCTGCTTTATTACTTATTCTAATTCTAATACATTCTGTCATTTGTGCATCAAATGAATCCATCTATTATTCTTCTGCTTTGACAATTGCTTTTCTTCTTATCTAGATTTCAATCGATAGAAATCTCGTGTGACATTTCAATAGTTGAAACTAGATTGATTTTTCCTTCTTCTTCTGCTCGCTGTCACTATCAGGAATGCAAGGCAACCGAGATTACTAGTCAATTCAATTCACAAAGACACTCCAACAATTGTTCTCTACTATCGCTCCACCTCCTCAGCGTCCCTTCTCTTCCTTTTGCCTGTCAAATTTAATTATCTGCACGAATACGTGAAATAACACAGATGCAATTGAACAAATGCGAATGGTTCGGTTCATTTAAATGAATTAACTTTTTTTTTTCTTTTCTAGCCACGATTCCTACCGAATTCACAGACTGTTTCGGCCCCTATTCACCTGATGCAGCAGCAGCGGCAGCTATGCATTATCAATTCGGAAACGGTGGCGGTGGTTATCCAGCAGCACCTCATGGTATGTCAACAAAAAGAATCATCTCTGTGAAACAAAATAAAACCTGATGCCTTTCTTTTAGATATTTTCGGATCGTATGCTCAAATGTCACAATTTCGGAGTCCAATGATGGTGATGTATCCAGGTGGCTATCCTGTTACATCAAGTCCGAATAGTATGATGGATCCGATGAGTCATCATCATCACCAACAGCAAGAATCATCTGCAGTTACGAGCGGAGCAGCGTAAATTCAAATTCATTTGAACGCTATACATACATATACATATATAAATATCATTAGATTTTACTTAGAAATTCTCGAATGTTTCTCTCACTCTCACTCTCTCTTTGTGACCGGTGTTCGTATTTCTTCTTCAGTTTTCAATTTCGATGTCGTTGTTTCGTGCGCATTTACTGCTCTTCTGTACGTTTGTGCTGTCATTTTTCTTCGATTTATCGAATATCCGCTCAATTCGTATCTGTCTATCAATTCAACAACAAAAGTCACCGTTCACCGGTTCCTTATGTTGCCCATTGAGCATATTGTAACTGTGTCTTATGTACTAATTCGTCTAGTTGAGTTCATTTTCTTGTCATTTTTTTTGCCACGTCACTTTTTTCTCTGCATGATCAAAACATTTTTCCGTTGTCTTGTGTTTTTCTTTTTCTTCTTCAATGTCCATGACACATGAATTTTTTTCTTTTGGATCGTTGATTGTTCAACCAGAAACGGGAGACAGAGAGAAGCTCGAAAATTTCAATCGAGAGATGATTTATGTTTTGTTTTGTTTTTCTTTTTTTTTGAAAATATAATATACAACGTCAAAGAAAGTCGTTTGCCTTACCAATCTCAGCATACGATCTCGAACGATCGCGTATTTTCATAAGTAAACTGAATCGTTATTACGGTTCGAATTCGGTTAGTCAGTCTGGTCGTTTCAATCGAAGACGACTGAATGCATCTGACTGTCCTTTGTCAATTACGCACGCATCGGACAACCGTCGGCAAGGAAAAAGAAACAATCGCAACTATGTACTTTTACGCAGAAAATCGAGACGTTATACCGAATGTATTCGTAACAAGAAAAAGAATGAGAACATTTTCCGTGAAAACATCGAGTTCTATCTGTTACAATTAAGAACGTTTGATGATGTAATACATTTCAATGGGATCAAAACACCTGCGTAATCGTACGCTAATTGTCGAATTGAAAATGATAAGCAGATCATCAAAAACAGATACCGGTTCACCGCAAATCACTCGATCTTTTGTTTCTTTTTCTCTTTTTCATTCTGGGTGCTGTCAGATGATTTAACACGTGTAATGATCATTGTTCTTATAACCATCTGAATACGACGAGAGAACGAAAGACGACGAAACGAAAACATCAAATCACCGAACTTATATGTATGATGTCACCGACAGGAATAGCCTCATCGACTAAAGAGAATCTTATACAACGATGGCAGCGTCAATTGATTGGTCGCACGCATATAAATTTTCAAGAATTTCTGCATCTACTTCGACAACATGTATGAATAACCTCTCAAACATCTATTTTTAATATTCGAGTAACTCGATCTATTCTCTCTTTCTTTTTTTTTCTCAGCTATTGTTAGAAACGCTCTTTTGCATATTTGATCGTGATTCAAACGGGTCACTCTCTGAAGCAGAATGGATCGGATCTGTATATAAAGTGGCCGAGTATGTGTACATAATATTCTCTTCTTTAAATGTGTCTTAACAAACATTTGATCATCATTTGTATATTGACAGGATATCCAATCGCACGAAAGATGTTCGAACACTTGAGCCATTCATACGTGCGTATAGACATGTTTCACAAGGCTCGGATTCACTTACTTTAAATGCATTTTATATTTTATTCGAGGATCAATCTGTAAAATTGCATATTTTATCTAAAACATTCATTTCCGCTTGTCTCCTTCTCTTTTAGTTTTGCCGCGATTTTGCTTTCTTATTTATGAACGAGTCACACCCATTGAACATTATGGAATTAACAGATTTACTTCGATCAGTTTCAAAGTACGTATTCATTGATACAAGATGGCGATATTTTTTTTCTTTTCATGTTAGTCTCAAATCTGATACAAAATGGCTTTCATGGCTTGCGTATCAGTTTCATACAGCTGTTGGCAAACGTCGTAGTCTAACATCGAATGGCATCCCATTCGATGATAGTATGGATCTCGAAACATTTCAAAATAGTTTTTACTTCAAAGTGGTACGTACTACTTCTTTGAATACGATGAAAATTCCATGACTTTTCCTTTCTAGCCAGAACTAGCTGATTGTTTGTTTAATTATCTCGACACAGATAGAACGGGACGGTTAACATTAGATAAGTTTATTCGCAAGTTAGAATTTCTGATAGAAGCAACTGATAATGAAAAAGTCGAATTTTTGTTCAAAATTTTCGACCGTGATGGTTTGTGTATTTGTCTTGGCGGAAAAACGAAATGTTCTTCTCGTATGAAATTCTAGGCGACGGAAGCATTGATTTTGATGAAATGAAACTATTACTTCGTTGCTTTTTGGAAGAATCCCCATCGCTGGATATGGAAGAAACATTAGCGGAATTAACAGCCACTTTATTTCAAGAAACAGACATTGATCAATCAGGAGACATTAGTTTCGAAGAACTAGCGGATGCATTAAGGCGAAACGAGCATCTTTTCAAAGTTCTTTCATTGAGGTAATATTTGTTTTGTTAGTAAATCTTCGAATTAATTAGTAATTTTATGATATTTTTCAGTACGAGCAGTTGGATTCGACCAAAACCTGTTTCATTATGTAAATGTCATAAACGTTCATCAACTGTTCGCGCTTGGATACGAAACAATATTGGTTTGATATTCTTCTGGTCGTTATATTCATTTATTTGCACTTGCATTTGTATTGATGTGTTACATGTCTACGTTGGTCAACAACGTGCCCATTTCTTTATTGTCATAGCACGGTTAAATGGTAAAACAAAACAAAACAAAACGATTTCCTCTTCTTCTCATTATCGTATCTTTCAGGTGGAATGTTGAATTTCAATTGCGCTCTAATGCTCGTACTGATGCTTCGAAAACATATTACTTGGCTGAGATCCAAAGGCGGAAGCGTCCTGCTTCCCTTGGATAATCATATCGATATTCATAAAACAATTGGAATTATCATTATGATCGAAACGGCTTTGCATACAATCGCGCATTTCGCTTATCTATGTTTGTATAATCTGTTTTGCTTTCTTGTTTTCGAAAGATTTCTGTTTGCTAGATTATGTCTTTTATATTTGTTCCTTACAAGAAGATAATGGTTTTCTATGTAATGAGAAAACCAACCTGAATCAATCGATGAGTGATCAAGCACTCATCCGCAAACTCTATCGATTCGACGTTTCAACAGACCGATGTGTTCCATTTGGATACCTCGGATGTGGAGGAAATTGGAATCAATTCTATAATGAACAATTATGTACCATCCGTTGCAGTAAATAGAGAGTTAATGTTTCCAAGAGTTCGTCCATTTTGATTCGGAATATTTGTAGAAGCATATCGTGATTCATACCATCGATTTACCGACGCAATATTTACAGCCAAATTAGGATTGGGATACATTACAGGTGTGCTGGAATTTTTATTAGGCGCGTTGATTTATATTATGTGCTTACCATTCGTACGAAAAAGTGGCCATTTTCAAGTAAAATCAATCACGAACCCGATGATTAGGGTCAAACTTTAGTTTCTGTTTAGTTATTCTATTGGTGTCATATGTTGACACTACCATGGTTGATTATCATGCTTGTTCATGCACCGCGTTTCTGGAAATGGGTATTACTACCTGGAGTATTGTATAGCATCGAGAAAATTTTACGTTACCGTAAATCACGTTCGAATAAACACGGAGAAACGTTCATAATGGAAGCAATCCTCTTGCCATCACAGGTGATTTCTTCCAAATTAATTAACACAATGAGACAAGGAGATATCTACGGACTTCTTTTTTCTAGGTGATTCATTTAGTGATTAATAAGCCGCGAAAATTTACATATAAACCTGGAGATTACATCTATGTCAACATCCCGGCTGTGGCTAGTTTCGAATGGCATCCATTCAGCATAAGTAGTGCTCCGGAACATAAAGGTATGAGATCAGAATTGAGATATGATGATCATATCTGCTTTCAGATAGTCTTTGGCTTCATGTTCGTGCCAGTGGTCATTGGACCCGACGCGTTTATGAATTGTTTCGTTTGAAACTAAAACAAGAACATGGAGGTCTCATCAATGATTCCAATGATCTTCGTCTTCGCTTATCAATGCGTTCACGCATGTCAAAAAGTTACATCGATGAACTACGCGGTCTACATCAACAAGAAAACACCCTCCTGTACGATCCTGATCAATGTTCGCAAGCGAAAGCGATTTCGGTGTCGTTTCCATTGGCTAAACAACAGACGAAATCAATCTGTTCGTCGTGTCAATCAACATTAAGCTTAAAAGACATTCATAGAAATTCGATGAATAGAAGCATTCTGATGAGTCCGAATGATCTGGAGAATTTGACTGTCGAAGAGATCGAGCAGCTTGCTTATGAAAAAGATGATCAAATAGTAAACGACTTGCAAAGAAAGTTTAGGACAACAGCGAAACTGAACAATCAAAATCGTCTGACAGTACCCACAGTCAGCGATTATTGCATTCGAATACCTACGCTGGCGTCAACCGAAGATGACTCTACAACAATATCTTATCACGAAACGCGTTTTTCTGACGCATTAGGTTATTTACGCATGTATAAAAACCAAAATAGAATACAATTCAATTCTCTTCAATTCAATGATCGTGAAGACTTACAAGTAAAAAGAAGCAATTAGACTTTAAAAAAGGTTTCTAGAATGAACTGTAGGTATTAATCGATGGACCATACGGTGCACCGTCTCAACACATATTCGAAGCTGAACATGCAGTTTTGATTGCTGCCGGCATCGGCATTACACCGTTTGCATCGATCCTGCAGAGCATTATGTGTCGATTCCGAAATCGTCGACACAAATGTCCGAGTTGTGACTTCATTTGGGACAATCCTGAAAGTGAAGAGTTGCGCGTAAAAAAGGTAACAGAACACCTGACGAGTTAATTTCATGTGTTACATTTGATTTCATTGAAATTTTTTCAGGTGGATTTTATTTGGGTGACACGCGAACAACGTTCGCTCGAATGGTTTATTAGTTTATTAGCTCAGATGGAAATCGAACAGCAACGTTTAAGACAAAACTCGGATAAAGGTCCCCTACTCGAAGTTCATTTATATGTCACCAGTGCACAGTCACCGGCCGACTTAAAAGCACTCAATGTGTATCTGTCATTAGATTTAATTGGTAGGGAGAATTCTGCAAGTTGTAATGCTATTGATGGACTTCGGCAGAGAACAAAACATGGGCGACCCAACTGGGAACAAGTAAATGTCTCTTATTATGTTGTTCGAACTTATTAGAATCTTCGTTGACGTCAGAGTAGTTTTTTCCTTTAATCAATAGAATATACCGACATGACTGGAATCGGAAAAAGAACTCGTATGAATAAATAATAGGTTAACGAAAAAAAAAAAGAAGAAGAAGAAAGAAAAGTAGACTATCGTCACGCTCGACTTTGATTAACGTGACCTGCTCTATTGGTAAGAGAAAATGAGAAAATGTTTACAAGTCTAATCTGTTTTTCACTGGAACGTTCCGATGTGGGTTTACTTAATTAAATCGACTTGATGCTTCGATTAATGAAGTCATTTGTTCGTTATTGAGTTTTTCATCAAATAGGATTATAAGAAAATGTAAAGCTTTTCTGCTTACAACTTCATGCGAAAGTCCTGTTTTAATGCGTAGCGACGCACAGCGACGGTTTTCTGTTACCTCGAAAAGTACATAGAACAATTCATGCTAATGCTAAACACATTTGATGCTTTTAGTTCTGTTCGTGATATTACTGTTTCTGAAGCTATCATCCCTATATAATTGACACTCGATGATCAATACTCGAAACGCATATATTCTTATCTCATTTCCTTACCAGTCTTAACTTTTCTTTTTCTCATGCTATTAACAGTTTCTAATCGAGTTTCATCTTCAATTCACTCCTACGCACTTTTTCATCCGGAGACTTCTTGGGCTACATACGTAAATGCTAATGATAGGTATAAAGGGTATGCTGACCTCGCCTATCGTAAACGTTGGGTTACTACTAATTGCGTGAGAATAAAAGAAAACGGCTTTGAGTTGCGCTTCTATTTAACCATTGCTTTTATTCATATTCATTGTAGGTATTCTCAGAATTACTGTGTCAAAAGAAAGGGAAAATTTCGGTATTTTATTGTGGTCCACCATCATTATCAGCTGAACTAACAACGAAATGTCGTCAATACGGATTTGCCTTTAAAAAAGAACTATTTTAAGTTTTCAAATTCTAGACCGTTCTTTTTTCCTCGATTGTTTGTTCACACTTTTATTTCTATCTTTTTCCTGTGAATAATTTTGATTTGTACTGCTTTGTCAACGACAGATATCTGTGTTTTTTCTTCTTATTCATTTTGCTTATTAAAAACTTGAATGTACTAAATGACAGTTGTCGATCTGTTGACAATCTCGCCATGACGCACAAAGAACATTGTACGTGGGCGGAATTCGATCAAAGCAGCGCGAAGCTCCATTAGTATTAGGGTTTTCCTTTGCGGATCAACTGTGGTTTAATGCACTGCACTATCGTTTTTTATTCGAAGTATGTGCAAAGCTTTATGAAGTGCTCTAATGAGATTAGAATAAATCTCATCAAAGACGCTAATGTGTATGTAGGCATGAATAAAACTTTAATTACTTTAATCTAGCTATTTATTCGATCTAATGTATTGAAGTAATTGTAAATAACAAACCGGAAAGGAAAGAAGAAAAATAGAGAAGAACGAAGAGAAAGCTGAAGAGAGGAAAAACGAGAAAGAGAAAAATATTATTGTTTAATTCGTAGAACAGAATAGCTTTTTTTCTTCTTCGAAGTTCTCGTTGTTAAATATTTTATCTATTTTGTAATATTCACGCGCGCAACTCCCGTATATCCACCATTGACAAGAAACAATTGAATTCATGCACAGGTATGATGCACTTCCATTAGCAAAATCTCTGGTTTTCTGCTCCCATCAACCGAGTTTGAAATAATTTCTATTTCAGTGATTAAGATTGTAATTGATAGTGACAAACAGCACTTTCTGAGAATATCTGTAAATGACGCTGCATTTGACGCCTACGAATCTGGTCCGATGTATTTTAGTCTCATGTTAATTACGGGATAAATTTGCATTACCTGTCACTTTTGCAGAGTTTTTTTGTCTTCTTTTCAAACCTTCAACCCTTCCCCCCGAACATGAAATCTGTCACGAAGTGTATAAAGCGTTTTAGTCGTTCATTTTTCTACTAAAAAGATAATCATAAGACTTAGTTGCTCCGTGTAAGCACACGTAAATCACCCGTTCTCATTCTATTCAATAGCCGTTTGCTCTATCTTCCATTTTAGAATGATGATCTTCTCAACTTATCTTATCGTTTTACTAAGTATCTTGGGTCTTGTTTTAACTACTCCCGTTAAACAAATTTCTTTAAATGACAAATCTGAGGACGTTACATTAGAACAAGCGTTCCGCAAAGCAGAAAAAACCCTCCATCGTTATTATTATTTAATGAATTCCGATATCGATCATCTTGTCCACGGTATGTTACATATCCTAATGAACCATCCAACGTCGTTTCCATTCATTCCGTACCGCGCTATGGATATAGCGTTTAAAAATGTGGCACAGAAATTAGGCGAAGAAGAAGTGAATACGTTAACCAAACCGCTTCTTTTGGCTCTTGAAGAACATCATCAAACGAAGTCGAAACAACCAATGACGTTTAAATTAAGCGACGAAACCAAGGAGAAAATCGAAGATGCTCTGGACAAGTTTTTAGATGAAGGTGAATTTGACGCACATTTGTGAATAAAAGCATCAAGAGGAAAGCAAAGTATTATTTTGTTTAAAATGAAAAAAAAAGAAGAAGTAAAAAAACCAACTGAAAGGCAATTCGACGCTTTTTCTCTTTGCATGTATGTATTGTTTGTTTACAAAGACGAGTGAAAAGAAGCTCATGTTCAAGAGTATTTAAATTTTGTTGTGTTTATATAGTTCGTCTAATCTTTGTTCGAATAAAAATGACTCTTATTTTCTCTTCAAAAATGAAACGGAGAAACATTGATCTGTACAATGTAAATTGTTGATAAACGACGACGGTGCAACGGTTCGTTCTTGTACACATGAATTTCCAGTTCATATTCATTGGAATCCATCAGAATCTGGTCGGTTTTCAGATTCGATCCGTCAAGCACGAACGGAAATGACGAATTGAAATTATTTCGATCGACGAGTTTTCTTGACGTCTTGTTCAAATCGAGATTTGGTAAAGTGAATAGAATCTTGTTCGAGGGTGTTAAACGTGGTAATGCAATGAATCGATAACGAATATGCATCGCGCGACGAGGTGAACACGTGGAACGATGTGCACACTTCGATTGACAATCAGTTCTATTGCTACGAAGATAGTTCACAGGACATGGAACATCGATGCACTCGTAAGCACCTTGTGTGTTGAAACATGTTCGATCTTGACCACAGTCGATCTGAAACTGTTGACATTCGTTGACGTCTAAAAATTTGCGAGAGTTATGGTAGTGAAAGTGAAGAACTAGGAGACAAACCTTGACATTGCCCTAGTTCGTTCATTTTGAATCCAATCGGACAAAAACATCGATAGGATCCGATCTGGTTTTCACACATATATTGGCAGATATTTGTCTGTTCATGACATTCATTGATATCTAAGAACGAAAATAATATGCTAAGAAGACAATAACACAGAAGTATCATTGATAGTTGATCCGTTGATGTCAGTTTCCTCTTCAGAAACCACCATCACTGTATCAGTTTTCAAATACCTTCACATAATCCTGATTGATAATTTTTTCGATATCCAATTTCACACTTTTCAGGTAGACAAGTCGAACATTCTGAAAAGAAATAGGTCAAAAGAAGTGTTTCAAATTATGTTTGAGACGAAATCATTCCCCGCCCTTGTTTCTTCCTGGTCCCAAATGAATCCCTAATTAGACATATCCAATAGGTGTGAAATCAGGCTGTAGGTGAATATAGTAGTGCAATAAAGATATAAGGAACACATGCATCTGAAATTACTCATTTTGTTTCCAAGATCTCCCCATGGGCGTTCATTTCACAGACAAATTATATCAGTTTGAATGAACAGCTAAAAATGCAACTGCTCGGAAGCTCTTTTTCCTATGAATGCTTGCCTAATAAATCAGGGAGTCATGAGAAAGTGGGGCGATAATTAAGAAAATATTAAGCGCAGAAAAAATGTACACAAATCATGATTTGATTCAGGCGAAAATTGAACGACGATTATATTTTTCGAAAAAGGTACCCAAACAAGTCGGGATATCAGCCATGAAAAGATTCAAATTGATCTATTTCAATTAATTCTCTTTCGAAATTAGATTTGATTGTTTTACAAGAGAAGAAAGTTCATAGTATTTACTAATCCCACCTACCGTGACAAAATGAACCTTGTCGTTCGAAACCATTAGGACATGTTGGACTACTCTGGGATTCTAACGATGATTCACCAGACCATTCGAGTTTTTGTTCATTTTGATCATAAACTGGCACTGAACAAATTTGTTTTCATATTTAACAAACATACTTCATCGGTTTTCTCTCACGTGTATACAACTGTTTCAGATAATGGACCGAAAATTCCAATAATGAAGACGGTGTTTTGTTTGGTGTGCAGGAAATCGTCTGAGTATAGTTGAATTCGAGTTTGTCTTTGCCGATTAGATAGCCAGTTACATATGTTTGGAAACGATCTAAATGTGGAAGTGTGAATTGTGAAGCGATCAGAGTGAGTAGAGAGAAAATTGAGTGTTAGGCATTCGAATTTCTGGTTGTTTGTTAGAAAAATTCAATAGGCTGTTCATTGCTGATCGTAATGAGATAAACCGTTACTATTTCACAAGATAATCGTTTGATCCGCTTATGAGACAATATGTTATTCTGTTTTTAAGATGCAAAAACTGTCAATCTAAGCATCGACGAACAACAACAAACAAGAGAGAAAGAATTTGTCTTGGTTAATTATTCGAATTCATCAGTTCTTGTCGCTTTCTCGACCATAATGGAATGAATTCAAATCTTAAATGAAGCCGTTTGTGTTGAAGATCTTTTCGAACAGTTTGTTCTCTTTGTTGACTGATCATTTCATTCAACGCAGAAAGTTCATCAGCGGATGTGGGATCAGCGGTCGGCGTATCGATGCCTTTCATCAGAATCTGATGCGATGGCCTCTGGAACGTTTTCTCTTGACGTAGTAACTGCGAATTGAATTGAAACCAGCAAGGAAAATAGTCTTTAATTAGTATGGGCAAACGTGTTAATAATAAACTATCACCAAATCGTGCAGCGAGAAAAAGAAAACGGCAAATGAGTGTAAGTGGCTCAGGATACGCGGGATGGGCGTCGCTGGCGTTATGATTTAGATTTAGAAAATTATATTTGAATACGTAATCGTAAAATTGTCGAAGATGGTATCTCATTTGAATGAAATGCTGGGGAAATGTTAGGAGAGCGTATTTGAGAAGGAAAAGAAGTAATAAACGATGACATAAATGACATAGTGAGCGGCGTTTTTCAATTTTCATCAATGTTCGTCGTATAATGGCACTAGTCGGCGACACCCGTTCGTCATTGGACGGCTCATGCGATCGATTGGATCGGGTTGACGGGCAAGGCCTGATAGGTTGATGGGCATGCGATACACTCAGTCGGCCTTGTGTATCGTTGATCTCATCGGATACAGTGGAAAATTTACGTTTTTCCTCGGGCGAGGCGATCGATGGACGTGAACTGGTGATGAGATTTTGACTAAAAAACTTCGAATGTAGTGTCGAGTACGCGTCGTTATCTTTGAAAAGATTGCGATTCAGTTGGAGAAACTTCGAATAACATTTCAAACACGAATTTCTCTCCACGATCGAACGAATTTTGTTCGGGGATATTTGAGACGGATCATTGAATGACCATGCTTGCTTGATTGAATCTTTTAACTGACGAACGTGAATACAACAACAAGTGAGTATAAATATGAATGTAAGCAGATCGATTGTGGGTAAGAGTATCATGTTTAAGGCGATTAGTGGCAATAAACTGGACGTTAAAGGCACTTTCGGTGTGTAGAATATGTAATTATAGCCGAAAATTAATGCCAACGATCCTGTAAGAATTAACGCAACGTTTGTATGCTTGGTAATGAGAAGATTCTTTCCATTGTAGATATTAAACGAATATTTAGTGTTGGATAAACGATAAGATCGAATGAAATATTGAAGAACACTTATGGAAATGATGAATAAATGAAAACCGCTGAAATTAATGAGAATCTGTTGGAGAAGGGTCAGTGGTAGAGAGTAAAAGGTTACGGATGATGGATGTACAAGATTCGGATGGTAGTGCTTAAGAATTAGATTAGGAAAATAGACACATGAAAGGCATATATTTGAAAATGAATATGCACGGATCCAATTTCGATGTAAACAATTATGAAGTAAATACTTTCTTGGAAGAACTACTGAACGAATTTGTTGTGTTTGACGGGTATGATGTTCACTAGGAGAAAGAGGATGTCCAGGTATGATGAATGTTTTCGTAAGCAAAACTCCTACTTCGTATGTAAGAAAAGTTCTTTGGAAGATTTCTTTTGTAATGTTAATATAAACACAAATGTATGTTCGATCAGTATAAAGCAAAGCATGGCGATTTCAATGAATTGCGTTGAGGACAAGGATTTGGCTGAGTGATGTTGTTGTTGATGATGATGATTCTGTAGGCGCATTATCGTTTGCTGAATGGTTTCATTTCGATTTTGAAAAAGTTTTTGTCCAAGAAGAAAAAGTCTGTTGAAAACATTGGTCTCATCCGTGGTATTGCTCGTTGTGATATTCATCTTAGACGATTTCAAAATCGCATATGTGTCGTTCGTATAAGATGAAAGAGTATGTGTGCATAGAGCATGAAATACGCAGAGAAAATGAAATCTTTATCTACAAGATAACTTAGATGGAGATTTCTTTTTTTTTAAAAAGTCACAAAGCACGTTTAATTATATAAGGGTTATTATCTAAGTGGCTGTTTGGCGTATTCTATATCGCTTACGATTTAATATTTCCTCTATCTTTTCTTCGCCATGTCTCTTCTGAACTTCGACGCTACATCATTATGTTCTACACTCTATTACGATCATTAAAAAAACACGAGATGTCGTCGAAGAAAAAAAACGACTATTTTGTGATGGAAATGACAATAGAAGTATTCCCGCGAGAGGAGAAAAATAGATGGAAGGACAAGTCCAAAAGAGTATAGTTAAGTCAAACATAATATTCATTTTTGATGTTTTCCAAATAAAGGAAAGATACAAAACAAATACGTATGATTGCGCGAGTTGTGTTGTTGACAAGGCATTCATTTAGCTAAAGATATGCATCTTGTCATGGAAATTAGTCAGAGGAGTGAGAAAAAAAAGGCATAGCGAAGAAATGAAAGACTTCTATTAACATAAAGACTTATTCATCTATCTATCAATTTTTTCTTGTTCGGTTAGAATGCTTGAATATATAAACGAGAATTTCTGCTTAATAACGACATGATGTCACAATTGTTTATCTACTAGCAACTAGCATACCTCGCCGGGTTTGAACAACTGTTTCAGCGAGAATCATCTCTTGTTCGAACTGATAATCATCGGGATAGGTACCGTTGAGTTGGATAGACTCATCGGATGCTTTTTCAATGATGTGAAGATACGAACCTAAAACAAATTCGAATAATTGAAGGAAAGAACTGACAGTACGGATCAATGGGACGACTCTTGGAAGAGACAAGTTTACCATCGGCGAAGGAAACTTTGATCTGGCGGTGAAAGGCATCATCAATCGAACAATATGGAAAAGAATTGTTTGTGTTTGTCGTTAAGAAAAACCAAGACGGTGGAAAGAGGAAAAAGATGTTTGTTTGAAGTATTGACTGAAGTATCAATGGAACTTGATAGAATGTTGATTTTTTCGAAATTGAATTCCAATGAAGGACAATATGATCAATATTAATTCTTTTTATTTCACCCTGGAGATGACGGATCGTTGTTGTCGTTGGCAAAACTAAAAGAACAACACTACGGATTGATTTTTCAGTCCTCAAACAACGAGAGAGAGGGAGAGAGAGAGAAAACGTAGTAGATCTTATTTCTATCTGCCTGCTTTCTTTTGCTTAGCATTTTTTTTTCTCATCATGTCAGATCATATCTTCTTCGTCGTCATTATTTTGTGTCTGTCTCCTATTGAATCAAATGACAATCTTCATATTTCAGATTGATTTACTAGTAGAATGAAATGCATGCGTCTGCTCATCTTTCAAACCAACGAGTCGAGTTTTCCCGATCGTCATTTTTCTTTCTCTCTCCCTCTTCCTCTGCTCCTTCTTCTGCTTTTTACTACATTCCTCTTCAACTATTCATTTTAACAGAATGCCGATGAAGATTGTCGCCTCTTTCTCTTCCTTTCTTCTCGTTAGCTGACAATGAAGACGTTTTCCGGCCCTCTTGACAACTAACATTAAAACTGTAAAAAGCATCAACACGTGAATGTTATCGTATTTGAGTATGAAGTATCTTTCTTTCTCTCTGAAAGCAGTCGGGCTTGAGTTCTTCATAATTCCACTGCTCTTGAGGAAGCAATATTTGATCAATATGATTAATCAATAAGACTTTCTACCATCATCTTTCAAATATTTGTTCTTAATTCTACAGATTAATCATATTGACATGAATCATTCGTTTAGATGTAATCTATTTAGATTATCGGAATCCGAAGTCGTGGACAAAGACATTTAACTAGCATCTGAAGTGTCCTCGACGACATATGAAACAAAAAGAAGCGTTTCCTTACTGTCGTGAACAACTACATCACAAGTTGTTGTGGCGATGCCTAAAGTATTCTCTGCTGAACATGTATAACGCCCAGTGTCAGACAATTCCACCGGGTCGATTCTAAAAATGATGGATAGTTCTAGACAACTATGAGGAAACGTTCATTTTACTTTAATGAATTGTTAAAAAGTATCTGCAAGCGAACACCGTCAATTCCTTCAAGGGTACTTCCATTTCTAGACCATTTTAATACGGGTTCAGGCCATGCGTCAGCAAGACAATTGAGTAAGAGCATTGAACCAGTCACGAGTTGCTGCGCTACTCGCGGAAGTTTAATGGCAAATGCCGGTCGTGCTAAATATAGACATAGATAGTCATGGGAAATGAAAAATAAAGCATGAAGCATGTGAAGTCAGAAGAGAAAAGAAATGTTCCATGTCTTACTGAAAATATTGATTGAATGGTAGGATTCCGTACGCGTACCATTTCCATTTTGAAACAGACATTTATAGACGCCAGAATCGGATGCCTATTTTAACAGAAACACGAAACAATCGAAGCGAATTCGATGCTATATTGGCCTACTGATGTCTGCTCGACGATTAATGTTCCGTTTCGGTAATCAATTCGATTTCGATTCTCGGAATTGACTTTCAATGGTAAACCATTATGAAACCATTCGATAGTACCAAGGAAATTGCTATTGATGATCGAATCGAGTTCACAGGAGAGAACTAGACGATGACCCGCCATTACAGCACGATTGTGGCTTTGTGGATGAGCTAAACATTAAATAAATTGTTCTTATGAATAGTCAAATAACCGGGAAAGATCGTACGTCGAACGGTAACCGCCACGGGTGAAGAAATAATAAATTGTTGATTTGACGAGTTATTCGCAAAACATTGATACACTCCCGTGTTTTTATCGACAGCTTTATTAATTCGAAGAACATTTCTATCGTAGAAATGTGTCAAATACTGAACGTTATCTACTGAATGACCGTTATGTAACCATTGAATGTCTAGTGGACTGATGAGATTCGTTTGGCAAATTAATTCCAGAAAATCTCCATAGTCAAGAGTCAAGTTTTTCGGTGATATAACAAGAAAAGGAAGTGGGTCTACAAATCAATCTTTACCTTCAATTCGAATAGCAAAAAATACGAGAACTTACTCGATTGTATTTCATAGGCGATCGTTGTTGTAACTTGATTATCTAGAACACTTAGACTAAATTGTTTTGTTGTTTGTCCGATTGCATTATGGGCGGAACACAGCAGTTCACCTTCATGATTTTTCCTAATTATATGGGAAAAAAAGGCAGATGCCGTTTTTCTTCCTGTACTTTTCTCTTCCGCCACTACATACTCTAGTTGATCAATATATAGATTCCCAAATGAATCAACAATAGCTGTTCCCGATGCATTATATATTCCATGCCAAATTATTACCGGAATGGGAATACCATTAGCTTGACAAGATAGTTTCACCGATTGTCCAATAATACCTGTATAATGTCGTTCAATTTGATCAATCGATGGGGGAACTAATGAATGGAAGATGCGAGTTATCTTTCGAAAGAAGAAAACATCAGTACCTTGAACTTCTAAACGAATTTGTGCATGTGTTCGTCGAACAAGGTTTTCCGCCCAGCATAAATAGTAGCCCGTATGTTGAACTTGTAAATGATGAATCCTTAATGAGCCATTATTCAAGATTTGAAAGCCTAAATGAATTCGAAAGAAGACATGATAAATAATTAATGTTGTAATTGGTTTTCTATGTGTGACCTGGTTGTGTATCAATTGAACGACCTGATTTGGTCCAGTAAATAAATGGAAGAGGGTAACCATCGACGTGACAACTAAGTGTGATAGGTTTGTTGACAATGCCAATGATTTCACTGCTTTCAACTGTAACTATCGGCGGAACTAGTAGGAAAAGAAATTGTGAAAAGCTAGGCGAAATGAGAAGAAAAGAATGAAGGTTTTTGTTAATCACGTCTAGAAAACGTGCCGAAGAATGAAAAGAAATGAGAGTTTTTAAAAAAAGAAAGAGATTTAGCCAATCATATGTTTACCGTTCACATCCAAATGAAGATCGATAAAATCTTGTCCAGCATCGTTCATAATCAAACATTGATATTTGCCATGATCGAGTTTCGTCGTATGAAGAAGTAACAAACTATTGGACGAGGTGAGTTTATATTTTAAATCACCGCTACCTTCGATTATATTCAATTCAATGTTATTATGGAACCACCTACAAAGAAAAGGGACTTGATTACTTCTCTTGAATAAACATTCTGTCTTTTGTTACTTCACGATAGGAATCGGATGTCCTTGAATTACACGGCAAGGAAGTTCAATAGGTTTTGGAGAGGTAACGAGATAGGATGTATTCTCTCGTTCAATTCGCGGAGGAACTATAAAACAAAAGCAAATCAAGACTTGACTATATGAAATTTTCCTGTTCAAACCTAAGACTGTCAAACGAAAGTGTTGCTTGGCTTCACCAGCTTTACTATAGGCTAAACATGTATAAATTCCAGCTTGAGTTGGATCCGCTTGAATAATAAGTAACTGTGAGCCACCAGGACCAATTCTAAAGCATACATTTACAAGTCCGTAATCATCTTTTTTTTCATTCGTCAGTTCAAACCTGTATCTCGCACTGGCTCGGTCGACGGGTAAGCCATCTTTCTCCCATGATACCGAAGGCCATGGATCGCCTGAAAATAATCTTCGATATACAAAATAGACATTTTTCGATCGATTCTCCCACCGTTAGCTGTGCAGGTCAATGCAATATGATGATGTTGAATGACTGTCACATTATCTTCATTTGGTTCACGTTGTATTACCGGTGGAACTAAATGTTTCATACAAAAATCAACACTCCTCTCAAGATGGAGATTTCCTACCGAAAATTTGCAATTCAATATGATTGGATAATTCGCCGGCAATATTCGTGCCGATACATGTATAACGAGCATGATCGTTGACATTAACTGATTGAATAACC